ATAATGTCTTCCCCAACAATGTCCCAATAACTTTTATAAAATCTTGCAGTCAAACCATCTGGTCCAGGAGCCTTATCATCACCAATTGTACATACTGCTTCATAAATCTCAGAATCACTAAATTCCTTTGTCAGGTCATCATTAATTGCAGGAGTAACTGTAGCTTGAAAATCACCAAAATCAATCGGAGAGACTCGATGACCAGAGGTAGAAAAAAGCTTGTTGAAAAAATACTGAGCATGAGAACCTATATCTGTATCTCCTCTGTGAATATTATCATCATCATCCTTAATACTTGTGATATAATTTTTTGCATAACGAGCTTTGGTGCTTGCATGGAAGAAGCTAGTATTTCTGTCACCAACATGTAACCAAGTGTTACGACTCTTTAGTTTCCAGTAGTATTCCTCATCCGAGTAAGCTTTTGTTAATTGTTGTTGCAGGTTTGGAATTATTCTTCTCTGCGATCTGATCGTGCTCGCCATAGCTTTGTTGAGAAGAAACTGTAGATGGTCTATGCGTTTGGCTGAATTAATATTAGATTGATGTTTAGACCGAGACATAGCTCTACGACAGTTTGTTATTTGATCTGAAATTGAACAATGAGGACTTGTCTTGCAATAATTCCAACTTCCAGCCACTGTTTTTTTGAAGTCTGCTAAACCAAGAAGGCGTTTATCAAAACGAAATGGTTTTTTATAAGCAGGATTTGTGATATTTATTGTGGTAAGAACAGGCTTGTGATCAGAGCCATTGAAGTCTAGAAATTCTGCTTCAGCATTTGGAAAAGAAGCAGCCCATTCTGAGTTTACCATGACTCGATCTAAACAGCACTTGATTGTGTGATGGTATCGTTCTCCTACCCAGCTGAACTTATCACCTTTTGATCGCAAATCTTTTATACCACAAGATGAAACCATATGACGGAAGTTACGAAAACTCCATTCATCTCTAATTGGACCTCCAATTTTCTCAGAGTTAGAAAGAATTTCGTTAAAATCACCCATAAGCATCCAAGGAGCACTACGGGTTAAGCTAATTCTTTCTAATCTTTCCCACAGAATATGTCTTTGATTTTGAACAGGATGTCCATAAACACAAGACAAGTAAAAACAGAAATTATCATATTGCATATGTACATCAATCAAACGATTGTCTTGAGATATCTTAGTTACAGAGATATTATCACACCACATAATAGCCAAACCACCACTTCTACCTTGTGGAGGTTCAGTAAATAAGTTATTGAATCCTAATACAATAGATAAGTCTTGCAATACATTACAATTATTTAGAGTTTCACACAGAAAGAGAAGAGAAGGCTTGAAATATTTACAAAGTTTCTTCAATCGTGATTGCGTTTGGGATGCAGCCACGCCCTGACAATTCCATGAGAGGACTCTCATATTGGTGGTGGGGGTACCGGGCCCCCCGCGCCTCCGTCGAACTTCATTTCAGAGGAAGAACCCTGAGACTCACTCCTCTCGCGTTTCTTGATATGGCTCAGGACCGCCATGTCTTCAGACTCTTCACATCTTTGGTAATAAGCCTCTGCTTCAGCCCTCTTTCTCTTATGAACTCCTCTTTCTGCAGTGGAAACAGGGGATTCAAAGTGAACTTGTTTACCTGCAAATTTAGCATGAAGATATCTAACCCTTTCTGCAGTTAACTCCACATCTTCAAAGGCGCTTGGTATGGAACTTGAGTCAGATTCCGTGATTATGAACTCCCTTGTTTTGTTCTTGATTTGGAGACCAGGAATCTCTCCAAAGGGTTCAATGGTTTGCAGCGTGTTAGTATCAGATTCGGGACGTGGCCCATCATCTCCATCTTGATCAGTGTCTCCGTCTTCACCGTGGTGGTCATCTCCCTCATCATTTCCATCGTCATTGGGTGGGAAAACAGGGTCATCCGCATGAGTAATCACACAATCCTTCTTCTCATGCTTCAGAGAGCCACACTTTGAACAAAAGTTCCGGAGTCGTTCGAAGCGAAACTTCAGAATCGTGTTGTAAAATTTGATACTTAGTCATACTTCCTATTTGACAATATATTTAAAAATATTAAAATTTGATACAAGATGACAAATTTTACTGTAACATCTATATTAAAAACAAGAAATTCACCATAGTATAAATTTGGTAAATAAAAAAACATATATATAACACCGTAAAAATATAATTATTAATGTATTACAATATAATGAATATTTAAACTTATAAAGGTTAGAAATATCATAAAACGGGGTTATAAAATTATATTACAGAATTTGTTATAAGGTATGATGATTTACATTGTTATTAATATAAATTTAGAATATCATTATTCCCACGAATACGGGTTAAATATTTATTATTCTGCTAACACCATCAATATTAGAATACTAGACTTATCTAATTAAGTTCATTAAATTAATATTATGTAAAAACATGTAATCTTGTGGTATACGAAAAGTAACAATCAAAATAAAATTTTAAAATTTTAAACACTATACAAACCAAACATTACTAACAAACAAACAAATATAACTTAAAATTTTTTAAAATTAGTTATAAAATATTTATAAGATTAATTTTCACGTATCATTTCGTTTCACGTGTGAATCACATAACCTTGACTATTAATTTTAGTTTCATTATATTAATTTAGTATTAAATGCAATAAAAATATTATTTTAATTGCATATACACAAAAATATATATAACAATGCCTTAATTGTATTAAAAGTTAAAAAAAGTAAATCAATTTATAATACAAAATCATAAAAACATATATATAAAAACATAAAATAATAAATTGTATCGTGGTCATGTATCACGGGGTAACTTCTCGTATATAAGTACAAAACCGGAAATATATATACCGCAAATGATACATTACTCCCGTTGGACCTCGACTAATATGCTAAACCAATTTTAATTAGAACAGAATAAATTATAAACGATTGGAATTCTATATAAGAGAAACACGTTAAATGATGGACTCGTGGTGTACCACGGGGTAAAATCTAGTTAGGGAATAAATATTAATGCGAATATTTTCATGATTAAATGATATTGTTTGCTCAATTATAGGATGTTTTACAAATATTATTTCTTTATTTTTGCATTAGTTATGCTAATATCATAAAATTTCTTTATTTTTAGGTAATTCAAGTTGATAAAGATATGATAAAAAAATGTAGACATATCTTTTCAATACTAATTGTTATTAATTGTTTCTAATTTATAGTTTCATATTGCATATTTAAAAATAACTAAAACTTGATTGTAAATATTTTAATATAATATTGTAATTGTTTAGGTACAATTAAATGCTTAAAAGAAAAACAAATACGAAATGTAAAATATAATAAGAATATTCATAATACGATTAGTAAATTATAATAAGAACATTAAAACAGAAAATTAAGGAAAGAACATTAAACCATAAAATTAAAGAATATTAAACAAAAGAACGAACCTACATATTCAGAAAATTAAGAAGTCTAGAGAGTGAAGAGTTAGAATTTGCATCATAATAAGAAAAAATATTTTAAAAGAAAATATGAATTTGATATAATTATAATTTTTTTTCCATATTCCTGTAAAAGAAAATAAAATATATTAATATATATGACATATGATAAAATAATATTATAAATGCACATATCGATTTGATCTATTAAACAAATAGCTATCTAAAGTTATTGAAAACGTGTAAATCATTTTATTTTATTTAAAAATAATATGATAAATTCTACTATATAATATAGATGTACAACAAAAAAAATTGAAGAACGATAAAAGAGATAGAGAGAGAGAGAGAGAGGAAGAAAGTATATTAAGGGCAGCAAAATCCAAGTTATTGAGTTTCGACATCTGAAAAGATATATGCTTATTCTTAGGTTTCATAAAAACCATTTATTACTTTTCCCGTTCCAACCGTTCGATAGAAAGGTAGCCCGCGCATCAGTTCAGACGAGTATTAACTCGCCGAGCCGCGTTCCCTTTTCTCCGAACAATCATCCCGGAAAAAGTCTATGCATATTCTCATATTTCATGCTAAACAACTTTCTCTTTTCATATCAAATTGTCATGCGAGTTTTAACAAACATCCTACCATGCGATTTCTATAAGATCAAACACTCATCATGCGATTTCAAACATATAATATTATGATCTCAAGACTTTAAAGATTATCATGCGATTCTAGGTGTTCATGCACATATATTGATCGGTTTTTATTAGAGAAATATTAAGGTGATCATGCATTTATATTCGATTTTCATGTTAATCATATATTAGGATTTCATAAATTCATATTAATCAAAGCAAACAACAATCCATATGAGAAACAAGTTATAATCGATTTTAAGGTTTCACATTATCACATGAAAAGCAGTTCATAGAACAATCTCAGGTATTAGGGTTTTAGATTTCATGCAAAAAGCAGTCCAAACAACAATCACATGTTTTAGGGTTTTAGAATTTCATGTGAAAAGTACTTCAAACAAAAATCTCATGTTCAAGTTTTCATGGTTTTATAATTATAAACATGAAATAATGGTTTTAGGGTTTATGTTGTATTTACCTCTTAACCACCGATTGAATTCTGAATGGATTTGGACCGGGAGGTAAAGACCTCGGTAACTCAAACGAATCTTAGAACCGCCGTAAACCTCCTTGGATTAGCAAGAAAACGTCGAGCTCTTAGGTTTAAGGTTTAGGGACGTTTTTAGCTTTTAGCTTTTAGGGTTCTTAGAGAATCGTGCTGATAACGTGTTGTAAACTAAAGAGAAGATAGGGGAATTCGTGATGCCTTTATTAATGAACCAAGCATTCTTTATATAGAGGATGGATACAAGGGAGAAAAATAAAACATAATACAAATAGAAAAAGATTAAGCCTACACAATATTGGACGGACCGGACTTGATTATGGGCCGGTCCGGACTGGGCTTGTTATGACAATCCACCGCTTGATTTATAACAAGACCACCGATGTCTGTGAAAATGAAGATGTCAAGTCTCGCTTGATTTCGCCGCCTTGGATGGTCCGCAAGATCAACACGAACGTTTTTGGGATGAGTAGCTCGAGATTCTTCTTGGATTGTTATCACGACAGCTTGAGATTCCAAGGCGAGGATTGTGTTTTTCCAAGTACGATGAGTTCTTGAGGCAACCATTGTTCCAAATGGACCAATCAAGTGAAGAAGTTGCAGTCAAAGTAAAAGTGGTCACCACGACTCCTCCGGCTAAGAGCAGCAAAGGAGACAAAGAGGGTTCGTAGTTAAACCCCCAAATTTGATGATTCTGCTCCTTTGAGCCAAGTCTAGTTTAAACCAAGGTACTTATATGGCTTCTGAATCCTAAGTAGATTGTAGACTAGACCAGTGTAGAACTTTTGAGAGTGTGAGAGTTGTAAGGGTAGGCTTGCAGAGACAGAGACCTGATTATGTGATATCTAAGCTTTATCCAGTTGAAAGCTTCATTTTTTACTTTGAGAATCTTATGATAAGCTAAGAGTCTAGTAGAGTTAAGTGAAGACTCTAGTCCATTTAGAGGCTTTGCCATTAGTGTTATTGACTAAGTATAAATGGAAGTGTGTGAATCATTGTGAAAGGGCATCCTGCGTGATCATCATTGTGAGTTTGTCGGAGTTTATGGTTTGTGATTTGTATTGTGGATTGAGAAGAGATAAGAGAGAAGAGTTCATAGCTTCAAGTCTTATGATCTTATTTGCTAACCAAGACTGATATACTCTTATGTTGCTGAGTCCAGTACCAAGCAACCCACATTGATCCTGACTTAAAGAAAAGAAGCCATACCAAATTAAAAAGGCAAGATTTTTTCCATGTGTAGAGGTCCCTTATGTTTCCGTATGTATCGTAAGTGGAGCACCAGAAGTTAGAAATATATACCAGCCACAACAGTGTTGTGTATGAGAAGAAGCCTGTCTGCAAAAGAGAGAGATTTGGCAGACCAAGTAGAGATTTTTCTTCCCTTAACCTGTTGGATAAGAGTGCTCACAGTTACTAATTGAGAGTTTCTTTGTGCAGACAGGAACCACAAGATATATGATAATCCAGCTGCAAAGAACCACAAGATTGGTGTAGCAGAACTTGTAAGACACTCTGAACTGAGTCAATAGAGCCATCTATAAATATAACAAGATCATCAGCAAAACACAACAGGTGTGTAAGCTTAGATCTTGGTAATTAAAAAGGCCTTCCTTAGCAGCTTTGTTTAACATTTGAAGATAAGCAGTTCAATGCAATAACTTGTGAAACTTGAACCCATCTTATCAACTGTTTCTGAAATTTGAATACTTCTTAGGCTATACTAATGATGTATTACACATCTCAAAGTATCAAAGACTTTAGCTATGTCCACTTTTGATGGTGATTCTTTTTTGGTTCTTTGTTATATAGTGTGGTAGCCATTAACAATCTCTGCAACAAGTACAGTGTTTTCAAGGACAAGTCGATCTTTTCACAAAGGCAAGTACTCTTGTTTGGGAGAAAGAGAGAGAGAGAAGGATAGGTTTTAGCCTAGAGACAACTTTATAGATAGTATTGCAGCTACATATGGATCTTGATTTTTATATATATAGTAAAGATTGTAAAATGATTACAAAATCCCCCAAGTCTGAATATATATTTCTCTTTTCAACAAGCCAACTTTATATTATATTCAGACAGACATATATATGTAAACGCATTAGAAGAGAGACTACACAACAATCTTTAAATCAGAACATTGTCTATACTGAAACTTTTGCAGAGTCCCAAGAACTTATAATACCTCCCAGCTTCTTCATAATGTCTTCTTCACGAGCGTACCAGTTTGGTATAATCTTTGACGCGTAAGGGTAAATGTCTTTCACAGAGTTCTTTATTGTATTCTCGACCACTTCCGAAACCATCCCAATCTCTGCAAAAACCAAACACAATGAGTTAAAGATTTAACATGTAAAGAGATAAACATAAACCCTAACTTGTGGTGAAAGTAAAGTAATGATTAAGTTACCTCGAATAGGTCTCTTGTTGGTCTGAGATATATGAGAGATCATGAAGATAACAGCAGCAAGAACTGACTTAGGGTTTCTCCGGAAAGCGAAATTCTCAGCTTTCTCCACGGCTTCTCGAATCGCTTTTATCTCTCTTTGACTTATATCAAGTTTAGAACAGAACCGACGAACAAGTTCTCCTGTGTTTATTATAATCGCTTGAGCAGTAGCAGACGAAGAGGTTTGATCTGACTTAAGAAGATTCTTTATCACCACACTCTCTTTACGTATATCCTTCAAGGTCACGTTATTGGAAACCATAGAGATCTCTTTCAACGTCCTCGACAGATTCAGTTCACGACAAGCTGTTGAAACAGAGGCAGCACAGAGAGCGTTAAGCTTCTTACCTCTACGTAGCTTCGTGTTAACGTGACCATCAAACTTAGACACAATCTCACAAGCCCTAGAGTTGATTACGGTGTCTAGGTCAAGTGCTTCTGTCATTCTTTGGATCTCACGAAACGCTTCCTTGATTACATCTTCGTCATGGTTCTTGACTTGGTTCTGTGCTCGGTACAGAGTTGAGATATCATCTTTGGAAACAGAGGAAGAAGAAGACTTCTCTTTAGGTTTCTCGATGACGGTGGCGAGACCGCCGGATTTGAGAAGAGGGTTCGTCGGAGCACCGACACGATTTGGGTCTCTGTCGTTGTGATTGTCGTCGGTTGCAAAAGTTCTCCATTCTTCATTGAACTCGATGATGTGAGCTTCAAGGACGAGACCACACTCTGAACAAATCGTGTCGCCACTACTATGATCAACCACCATTATCGTAGGTCTCTTGCAATCCAAGCAAGTCTCTTCTTCCATCAACATTTTTTTCTAGGGTTTCTTTCTTCTTTGTGATTTGTTGTTTCAAGGTATGATTTTTTTCGATTTGTTACCAAAAACAGTGTATTTATAGAGAATCGAGTAAAGGTAAAATTCCTTTTTCTAAAAGGATTTTGATGCTTTTTCACTTTTTACAGTGTTACTAGTATGTAAAAAGGAAAATTTCCTTTTTCTTTTTTATAAAGTAAAATAATTTCAACAAAATTAATTAGTTTCCCTTTTTTATAAAGTAAAATAATTTCAACAAAAATTAATTAGTTTCCTTTTTTATTATAAAGTAAAATAATTTCAACAAAAATTAATTAGTTTCCTTTTTTTATAAAGTAAAATAATTTCAACAAAAATTAATAAGTTTCCTTTTTTTAATAAAGTAAAATAATTTCAACAAAAAATTAATTAGTTTCCTTTTTATTTTTTATAAAGTAAATTAATTTCAAAAAAATTAATAAGTTTCCTTTTTTTTATATAAAACAAATGTTTTGTAACCACAATATTTTAACATATGCATAATTTACATTAAGTATAGTCTACATATTTAACAAAGATTTATACAGTGAAAACTATATACTAAAGCTTATATTTACTGATTCACTTAAGAATCTCCGATGGATATAAACATCAAAACTATAGTTTCTTCTCTCAAAAGTCATATGATCATAGAGGAAGACAATGTAGTGGCTCAGGTAGGTTCACTGGCATTGGTATCTCAAGAACGTATTGCTGCGGGATAGGTCTTGTAATGGTCTTTGCGCGGTTATAAAACTTGCCGAGATGGTTTATCATTGAGAATCTTTCAAGTTCTTGGATCTCTAAGATGATGTCTAATACTGATGTGGTCTTCTCAAAGCTACAAACATAAAAATGTAACTTATGAAAGACTGATCTATCCAAAGACAATTAAAGACTGATCCATATCCATACCTTTGGAAATCACTTTCAAGCTTTTGTATATTTTCCTTGAAAGATTTGACAAGTGAGGAATATGTTTCATCTTTATGATCATTGGCCGTCTTTGAAGTTCGATTAGTACTGGACAAAATTAAAACTCTTATTAAGGAAGTGAGCAAATCAAAAGAAAATGAGATCAATCTAAACTATCATGGAACTCACTTTGTGCTTTTCTCCAAATGCGAGCGACATTTGAGAGAACATGAATCAGCGAGGGTGATTCTTGACACAAAGTAAAGTACAATCTCGTAGTTGAAAGCTGCCGCGTTGTTGTCTATCGAGAAAACAAACGCTGGTGCGGGTTGGAGAAGCTGTTGCATAAGATGTGTGGATACAACAAGCCTTCTCTTTGAAGGGGATATCACCTCATTTGGATCACACTTTTCACCAAACAACAAGTCTCTTTATTTGAAGATGGAAATGGGAATAAGTAAAGGTAAATTTGATTATGGTACCTTTTCACATAGTGTATTTGTCACAAGACACCATTCTTGTTCTAAGATACTATAGAAAGCAAATGTTTAAACTATTAAATATGGTAACACAAATGATGTTTCCAATTCATGAATGTGGTATTAGAATTATTACTAACCTGATGCGGTGACATAAATCTAAACCTTGCATATAGACTTTGTGCCATGGTGATTGCAAAAATGTTGAATATTTACGCTTATTCGGTCTTGATACAACCATCTTTTTGTGCAGAGTGTTTGATTTGGTCAGTCCATTGTTAGACTTCCAAGCATAATTGTACATCCCATGCATTTCTTGACCATCGTTCGCCTTCGGACACCCTGCATTACACCGAAAAATTGTCTTAACAATTGAAATGTGCCAAAGGTCTTGGCCCTTGTGTTATCTTCTAAAGCACATGCTTTCATAATTGTTTCACTTCTATGTAGGATTACTATTTTAATTTGGCACAAAACTTTAAATCTCTTTAACAATTAAAAATCTTGTCCATGCTTTTACATTGATTTTTTCATCACAATGTCACAAAAACTTAAACCTTACAAGCTACAAATTAGATTTTTTCATCACAATGTCACAAAAACTTAAACCTTACAAGCTACAAAAGATTCAAGAATCCATATATGTAATGTCATTACCATGTCTATGCTTGAATGTTTTGTGAATCAAACTAGTGAATGCATGCAAAAATTGTGAAAACGAAATATTTTTTATTTTGATATGAACATGCAAAGAATTTGAGTATAACACTGGATTCTGATTAACTATTAGTAAGCTATTAAGTAACAATATACATAAAGGCAGTGACATTTACCTGAGAAGAGCATGATCATGAGCAAGACAATGGATTCTGATTTATACTATTCAAATCTGGTTTTCAAACTTCGTTTACAGTGAAGTGAAACTGCATAACTTCTCGAGAGCTGGTTCACATATCCCACTGAGGTCGATGAAACCAAAGAAAACACATCATTTCTTCTATTGTGGCTTCTTCTATGGGCCTCTTTTGCTTTATTAATTGGGCCACAATGATTTAAGTTTGGTTCTTTTTTTTTTTTTTTTGTTATGAGCCATTTGTCTATTGGACCGTAGCTAGTAGTTTGTGTAAAACATTTTACTCTTTTACTGTATACTGTATTTTGCTATTATTTTGTTTGGGTTGCTGCTCTCTTTCTTTTTGTACTCGAATTCTTTTGGTTAAATTACAGCGTTAAAGAAAGAAAAAAGGAAGCATGGTGTTTTTCGTCCTGCAACGCAATAATGCACATATATTATTATTCAACTCGACTTTTTTTCTTGTTACCGTTTTTTGAATTTTTATTGAGATTTGCAGAATTAATCAACATATATATATATATATATATATATATATATATTTATATGAAAGCTTTTAAAAACATAAGTGGTATTTATCTAACGGTCCAAAAACATCACAAACCGCATTTGTCCCGCAAATTTATTTGCTGTAAATATCGCAGTTGGACCGTACCGCATATTAAAACCGCACAGTCAAATATGCTGTCACCGTTCGGACTCTAAGTTTACTGTATTCGTAGTGTATACAAAGCATTTTCTTTTTGTTAAAAGAAACCCATGTCAGCAACCGTAAAATGCATTTTGTAAAAATAAACAACACCAATCCGCTTTCAAAAAAATATTAACAAGCTACGTAGTACGTACCATGCCTTTTTTCCTTTTTTCAAAAGAGTATCTCAATTTATCATGTAAATATTATTCTAATTACCAATATAATATAGCGAAAACAACATATAAAAACACTATATAGATTTTTTTTTTGGAGAATAATAATAGGAGAAGAAATTATGCAAGAGAGATATAGATGAAAAATACTAAATAGACCAATAACAGAAATTAAAAAATTAATTAAAAACTACAATCTAAAATATACAAATAGAATAGTTTAACAAAAAAAAATCACAAAGAAAAGTTCCTTTTTAATTGGCATTGAGGATTTTGCCTTTTTATTTAAATATTTAGATTGGTTATTTTAAAAGAGACAAAAAGATAACTTTACACATTATATTTGAGTTCTCTTGGTTCAGGTTTCTTAGGGTTTAGTGTTGGTTATTAAATGAATTATTCATATGAAAAAGTCATATGTGTATAGAATTTTAAGAGTCCAAAAATGGAAAATCTACAAAATCTTAAGAAAAATGGCAAATCCATAATATTTTGGATGATAAAATGTCATTTTCTGTAATAATTCCTAAATTGTATCATATGTTTTCTCTCTTAAAATACTAAATACACTAGGATTTACCCCGTGGTACACCACGGGTCTATAATTTAATATATTTCTTTGGTTGATCATTTTCGTAGTTGGTTTATATAGTTTAGTTTTATACGTGTTTATTTCATTTAATTTAATATAATTTTATGAATTTGTATTATAAGTAGATTCATAGATATATGTCGTAAACCCGTGGTACATCGCGGGACAATTTTGTTGTAAATAAAAAATTATATTTTAACTTAACCCGTAAAAGATTTTAAATATAGACTACCCGCAGAAAAATATAATCATATTTATGTAAACTCAAACCCGTTCAATCATATTTATGTAAAATATTATTATATTTTAAATATTTATAGAGTTAAAATATTAATAATACTTTTAATTTTTGTAGAGTTTAAATATTTTTCATTAATTTAATATTCTATAAAACTTAAATAAAATATCATAATTTTTAGCTTCTAAAAGTTTTAATATTTATCATATTTTAAACTTGTTAAAAAAATAAAATTTATAATATTCTGAAACTTTTTTTAAAAAAAAATTCTTAAATAAAGAACCGGATTAAACTAAGAAATTTTTTAATTTGGATACTTGATCAAAATAAAATTTCATGCTCATTTGTAGTTGTAAACATATTAGTCTGTACATATATCTTTTCCTTTATTGATTAAATTAAATACCTCCGTTTTCAAAAATTTCAATTGCAAAATGTGTGAAAAAATTTTGTATTTTTATTATAAATATATTTTATGTAATAATATAAATTTTAAACAAATAAAATTATATAAATATATTGGAGAGAGATTCAGTTTATTAGTGAGAGATTTTAAGGAAACTTTTTGATGTAATAAATATTTGTTTCCAATTTTGCCATTTGATTGTGATTTAATTACAAAATTTACTTTTAAATTTTGTTATTTATTCAAATGGCAGGGTTTGATTATGCAAATATTACAAAGTAAAAGGTTATAAGCCAAAATATATTTTAGTACAAAATATACTTCAAAAATGTTAAGATAGATCATCATACCAGATGATTTTTTTGCATATGAACTAAAGAAACTAAAAGGAATTTTAAACTAAATTAGATAACTTAAAATAACAAATATCAAATATATACCCAAGCCAACCAATTAAAATATTAAATATAGATATAGAGTGGGTAAGAAATGTATGTCTTGTTGTGATATTTGTGACATATTCTTTGCAAAATTTTCCATAAAATATCAATTATATATATATATATATATATATATATATTTTTGGTTGTAGGAAATACTCATGAAGCTTCCCTTCTACATAGTCAAACTCTGCATCCACTATATACAAAGCATCTTTGTTAGTCATTTCTCCACCATGTAAGTTCTTGATCATCTCTTCACGTAACTAATGAATTCTTCTTTATTTCTTGGCACTGTTGCAGCTGCAATAGGTTTCTTCACGCTCTTTAAAAAGTTCAGATTCCAACAAGAAAACAAAGAAACTGTTTTGTCTTCCACATCTCCTTCATTAGCTCCTCAATTTTCATCTCACAACTTGGTTCATCAAGTCTTTCCGAGCTTCCGCGGAGAAGATGTCCGCAAAAACTTTCTCAGTCATATTCATAAGGAGTTTCAAAGAAAAGGAATCACACCATTCAATGATAATGAGATCAAGAGAGGAGAATCCATTGGTCATAAAGTCATACAAGCGATTAGAGGGTCTAAGATCTCACTTGTCTTGCTTTCTAAAAACTATGCTTCTTCATCGTGGTGTCTTGACGAATTGGTGGAGATCATGAAGTGCAAAGAAGAATTGGGTCAAACAGTGATACCCATTTTCTACAAGGTGGATCCATCTGATATTAAGAAGCTCACTGGAAAATTTGGGAGTGTGTTTAGAAATAATTGTGTTGGTAAAAAAAATGAGGTTATTATCAAATGGAGACGAGCTTTGGTGAAAGTGGCAACAACAACTGGTTATACTTCTCAAAACTGGTTAGTCTTTTGATTTCTATATGATTTTAGTTTTGTAAATCATATTTTTTCTATATATTTATAGTGTATACTAATTTCTCATGACTACTTAATGAATTCAATTATCCGGTCTCTTTTTATTAGGGATAATGAAGCGGCCTTGATTGAAAAAATTGCCACAGATATTTTGAAAATGCTGAATCATGGTAAGCCAGAACGTGATTTTGATTGTTTAATTGGGATGGGAGCTCATATAAGAGAGATGGAACAATTGTTATGCCTGGACTCTGATGAAGTGAAGATGATAGGGATTTGGGGTCCGTCTGGGATTGGAAAGACCACCATTGCTAGAGTCTTATTTAACCAGTTTAACTACAATTTTGAATTGAGTGCATTTATGGAGAATATGAAACAAATGATGTATATACCATTGTCTGCTGATGACTACAGTGCAAAGTTGCATTTACAGAAACAGTTTATGTCTCAGATAATTAATCACAAGGAGATCGAGATTTGTCATTTAGGAGTTGCACAAGATATGTTACAAGATAAGAAAGTTCTGGTTGTTCTTGATAACGTCGATCAGTCAATACAACTAGATGCTATCGCAAAAGAAACTCGATGGTTTGGTCATGGAAGTCGGATTATCATCACAACGCAAGACCAAAAATTTTTGAAGGCACATGATGACATCAATCATATTTACAATGTGGGCTTTCCATCAGCTGGTGAAGCTTGTCAAATATTTTGTATGTATGCTTTTGGACAAAAGTTCCCTAAAGATGGTTTTGAGGATCTTACATGGCAAGTTACAAAACTTTTAGGTGGACTTCCATTAGGACTAAGAGTTATGGGTTCCCATTTTCGGGGAATGTCTAAGCATGAGTGGATAAATGCCCTACCACGATTGAAGACTCGCCTTGATTCTACTATTCAAAGCATTTTAAAGTTTAGTTATGATGCCTTATGGGATGAAGATAAAGATTTGTTCCTTCATATAGCATGTCTTTTTAACAATAAAAGGATTAGCAAAGTGGAAGAACATCTTGCCCATAAGTTCTTAGATGTAAGGCAAGGCTTGTACATATTAGCTGACAAGTCTCTTATATCTATTGATACTGAATGGATAAAGATGCATAGTCTACTAGAGCAGTTGGGTAAAGAAATTGTTCGTCATGAGCTCGGGCACCAATTCATTCGTGATCCTGGGAAGTGCCAATTTTTAGTTGATGCTAGAGATATTTGTGAAGTACTCACTGATGAAACGGTTAGTTTTATTATTAGTCTTCCATTTCCTTCGACTTCCTACAAATTAAATTCAATCCATAACTAAACATCTCTAGTTCTTTACATTTTTATAGTTTTTTTTTTCAGGGTAGCAGTAATGTTCTTGGCATACATTTCGACCCATCTGAACTGTCAGATGAATTAAATATAAGTGTGGGAGCTTTTGAAGGAATGTCCAACCTTAAATTCTTAAGATTCAAGTGTCCATATGGTGACCAAAGCTTGTACTTACCAAGAGGATTGAGTTATTTATCTCCAAAACTTAGATTACTACAATGGGGATGTTTTCCAATGTCATGTTTGCCTTCCAATTTTTGTTCGAAATATCTTGTCGAACTAAATTTACGGTTCAGCAAACTTCAGAAGCTGTGGGAAGGAAATCAGGTACAAAATTGTTGTGTGTTTCTTTCAAGTTTTAAAATTTTGGTTTGATTTCTTTGTTTTATATGTATTTTTCTTACATATTTCAGGCTTCAACATATGAGTGATTTTAAGACTTTATTTTTTAATTTAGGTTTAGTTGTTTGAGGGTTTTTTTTAAGAGTAAACATGTTATTTTATGTTACATTTGTTTATTTTTTTTTGTCTACAGCCACTTAGAAACCTCAAATGGATGGATTTGAGTTATTCAAAAAACCTAAAGGTTCTACCTGATCTCTCAACTGCCACTAAACTTCAAGAATTATTTCTCATTGAATGCTCAAGTTTGGTGGAGCTCCCTTCCTCTATCGGGAATGCCACTAATCTTCAAACATTGCATCTCGGTGACTGCAAAAGTATAGTGGAGCTCCCCTCCTACATTGGTAATGCCACTAGTCTCTCATGGTTGAATCTTTCTGGATGCTCAAGTCTGATGCAATTACCTTTCTCTATTGGAAATGCCATTAATCTCGAGATATTGCATATGGATATGTGCACTAGTCTGATGAATCTTCCATCATCTATTGGAAATCTGCATAAATTGACAGAGTTTACTTTAAAAGGATGCTCAAAGCTAGAGTTTCTTCCTACCAACATCAACTTGGAATCTCTTGACGAACTCAATCTCACTGAATGCTTGTTTCTGAAAACGTTTCCCGAGATCTCCACAAACATCAAACATCTATATCTCAATGGAACTGGAGTTGATAAAGTGCCTTCCTCTATCAAGTCATGGTCTCGTCTTGATGACTTGCATATGTCATACAGTGAAAACCTCAAAGAATTCCCTTATGCTCTTGATATCATAACAACTTTGTATGTTAATGATTTAGAAATGCATGAAATTCCACTGTGGGTTAAGAAAATATCTTGTCTTCGAGGACTTATACTCAGCGGATGCAAGAAGTTAGTATCACTCCCACAACTTTCAGATTCCTTATTATACTTGGAGGCAATAAATTGTGAGTCACTGGAGAGGCTTGATTTCTCCTTTCACAATCCAAAGGTATACCTCAGCTTTGTTAACTGCTTCAAACTGAATAAAGAAGCGAGGGAACTCATTATCCAGACTCGTACAAACTATGCGGTCTTACCTGGTGGAGAAGTGCCATCAAAATTCACTTACCAAGCTAATGGTGGAAACTCCATGACAGTAAATTTGAAACATAGGCTTCTTTCTACAACTTCAAGATTTAAAGCTTGCATCTTGCTGGTTTATAGAGGTGACAAGGAGGATGAGGCTAATGGTAAGGAAATGATGGTCTCTTATCGCATAATGGACAAACATAATCTTGGTATCGTTCCATGCAGACCTACATACCACTTTATCATGCCTCCCACTTTACCAGAGCACTTGTACACCTTTGAATTTGATGCGGATGTGACATCCACCGAGTATTTCTTTGAGTTTAAAGTCGACAGCAACGACAAGGTGATAAAAGATTGTGGAGTACTTCAGCTCTAAGTCCCTTCATGTAGATAAAGAGAGATTTAAAGAAAGCAATGAAGGAGACTAGAATTCAAGTTAGGTGGATATATAGTTGAAGATCATGAAAGTGAAGAGAAAAGAATGAATGAAAATGCGTGAAAGGTCTTATTTTAAAGTTGCAGGGCTTGGTTAAGTTGTTTACTTTATGTACACTTCTTGTATTTGTGTATGATAGTCTCTGTGAGACATGGATCTCATTTTAGTTTTGGTTAAGTTGTTACTTTGTATGTTCGACATTTGTTATAAGTTAGTTATCACTTATCACTTATCACTTATCACTTATCATCATTGTTAAATTGGTTCCATAATGTAATTAGATGTTTGCTCCATATGATATGGTTGAAGTAGTCACCACATATGCTCTTCTGGTGAACTTACAAGTCACAAGTCACACACAGAGAAAAATAAAAATAAAAATACTCTATATTTTTTGTTTTCCCCAATAAAGCCCCAATTATTTTTAATCTATCAAACTAACCCAATTTTGATTCAGAAACCAAAATATTTCTAATGAACCCACAAGTTTCAATTTTTCGACAAAAAAGGAAAAAACTTTTTACACCGTCCGATTAGCATTCCCTATAAATCCTTGATATCTCCGATTTGGAGTTTGTTTCTCTTCAATCTGAATTCTTCTTTTCGTATTCTTGAATCCTAAAGGAACAATCTTTTGTGTCAAAGAACGTCTGTAAAGATGACAGGGGACAACAATGAAGCTAGGGTTTCTTCAAGCGACTCGGCTACATCAAACGATGCTTCCCAGACGAGACAAAGGTACAAACTTTACATTGTCTAACCATCTCAATTCTTAAGCTAATTCAATTTTTCAAGATATTGTCACATTCGATTTATGCCCTTGTTTGGATTGTTGCTTCAGTTACCTTGATTTTGGTTTTGGAATCGATTTTGTGGATAAAGGTTCTGCCTTTGAAGGTCTTGTTGTAGCTATGTTGGTCTCTTTAGTCTATTAACCAATTTTGCATCTTTAGTTTTAGAATCTGATTTGTGAATAAAGGTTCTGGCTTGTAAGCTCATCTTGAGGCTCAGCTGGTCTCTTTAGTCTATTAACCAACTTTGCATCTTTAGTTATTAACTGAGGTTTGGGAATTTGGGTGGCAGGAGAAAGAGGAAGTGGGATCAGCCAGCAGAGCAACTTGTTGCGGCTGGAGTTGCGTTTCCTCAGTTACTTCCTTTAGGCAACAATACTTTGAATGTTCCTGCTATGGGGCCATTGCTCCAAACTCTTTCTGTGCCTTTAGCAGTTGCAAAACTGAATCAAGTAATTAACTTAACTCTTACGCTCTTTCCGGGCTTCTGGGGCTAGTCTTTCTCTGGCTTAGCTATTGCATTATGCACTATGGCATTGATTATGCTATGTCATGTTAATTATTGCATTACTTGAAACATTTTGATCTATGATTAGTAGTTTTACTATGTGTTGGTTTAGTTTCCTCTGTTCATGTCTGAGATTCCTTAAGTGCCTGAAACAAGGTGGCTGTGTTTGTGACTTTGACGTTAATGACTTTATACTGAGCGAGCTGTTATTTGTGGATATATGTCTTTTTCTTCTTTTGTCCTGTACTTTAAACATGGTGATTTATTGTGGTGTTTTTGCATGTCCATCTAGGCTAAGATGCAGGATGAGTTGATCATAGCACGAGAAATTGTTATCAATGATGCTGAGGCTTCTCTTAGACATAAGCTTACTAGACGCTCAACTCAAGAAGAAGTATGTGTAATTTTACTATGCGTATAAGATACAATTTTCCTTGCTTTATTTTTTAAAATTCTATTTGTCTTGCAGATTCAGAGGTCTACTGGTGCTGTGGTGATTACTAGGTTCGTCCAACATCTAACTCATTGAATAGAAAGTCTGACAATAATCTTTTTTAGATTGAATTGATGAAATATTTTTGTAGGGGCAAGTATCGTCCTCCAAATGCACCTCCTGATGGTGAAAAGCCGTTATATCTTCACATATCTGCCGCTGCTCATGTATGTTATCCTTTTTAGCTTAATAGGAAACTAGCCAAGGGTAGTTAAGAACACTTGGCTAATAAGGTGGTGATTAGTTTTTGGGTAATTGATTATAGTGGTGTATAGTACTGGTCAAGATGTTTTAGAAATATGATAGATGTTTTGCATATGAAGAGCAGAACGTAAAACATTTATGGCTTAAAGAAACACCTTGTTTCCCATATTTCAGAAGCCTTACTTAACTTTTGAGCTTTATAAGAAGTCAGCCTGGTTTAAAGTTTGGTATTGCAATTTCAGTTAAAAGAGACTACAGAACGTATCTTAGCTGTTGATCGTGCAGCAGCTATGATTGAGGAGATGATGAAACACAAATCAAACTCACAGGTCGGGTCGGCTGGTTTGCCGACTGCCAAGGTAGATTGGGTGACACTTCTATTTTGTAGTTATGATATTAGAGCAATAACAAATTTAAGCATGTTTCCAGATGCAGAGTACATGTGTATATTTGGGTTTCGACGCTGATCCATCATCTAACGTTGCTGCTCGTATTCGTGGACCGAATGTGAGTTTTCCTTCAATATCCCTACATTTGTTCTTTCTAGTTTACAACATAACTGAATTTACAGTCTGATATCAAATTATGAATTAGTAGTAACGTTAGCCAACTGGTGTTTAGGTTCTCATCTTTGATTAATAATATTTGCACTTTTTCTTTTGTCTCATCCATGAATTCGAGAGATTCTAATGTTGAAGCTCTCTCTGACATCTCCGTGCAATCTGGAGAGAACTTTTTTTTGTGTTGGTGGTGTTTGGCTTTTGAAATGCAGGATCAGTATATAAATCACATTATGAATGAAACAGGAGCAACTGTTGTACTAAAAGGACGTGGTTCAGGAAGCCTTGAGCAACATGGAGAGGGTAATATTTACTTTATTTCTCTGCCTACTTTTGATGGTGTTATTTTTCAAAACGTGATATATCCAAATTCACATTGTTAACGTAATGATAAATTCTTGTTTTTAACTCATTATTGCAGACGCACAGCTACCATTGCATCTATTATTGTCCAGCAGCAACCCTAAGAGCATCGACGATGCAAAACGTTTAGCTGAGAATCTTATGGATACAATCAGTGTAGAATTCGGGGCATCAAGGTTTATTTTATCTTCAATCTCTGCCAAATTTGATAGGCTTCTTCCTGTTTGCATTGTCTTTTTCATTAAATATTTACTCATGTCTTGCTGATAGTTTTGAGATCTCATTCACTTTGGTTTTTCAAAGCTAATTTTTCCTTTCAGGTCTTTTATTTTCTGTTCAGAATGTTTTTATGTCTTTGTCATTGTCATTGTATTTGTTTTTCCTTCAAAATGTTTCAGGGTTTCCTCAAGCAAGGTGTATGGTGCAGTACCACCACCACAGCAACTGCTTTCGGGAGCACCGGGTTCTGGTTTGATTCCATCATATGGTTTGATGACATCGGTACCCGTCACAACACCACCAAAAACTGTTAGTCCGTTTCCAGTTACTCCAGCAACAAGTCTTTATCCTCAGTTTCCAGTGATGCAACCTCTAGGAATTTCAAATGGTGGGCACTTTCAACCAAGTCCAGTGACTTATTTACAACCCATGGCTGGGGGAACCAGCTATAGTGGCTATGCTGGAATATACCCTCAAGCGACACCACTTCAACAAGTTGCTCAAGTCCTTAAACAATCAATTTCTCCTGCTATCTCTACTGTGCCACCTACTATGTTGACAGCTACGTCCTTGTCAAACCCAAGTGATATTTCAAGAAAGGAAAAGGAAAGGCGCCCACCCCAAAGGCGAAAGTTTCAGGAACTACCAGCTGATTGTAATGTTCCAGCAAAACCCAAACAGGTAAAAGATCTTTTCCTGCATATGCAGTGATTTGACGGAGTAATGGATGGGTCCAAACCTCGGGGCTCTTCCTTAACTAAGTTTCCATGAGAGAACTTGTTCTTGTCGTTGTTTGAAATAAATTTTGGCTGAGTATTGGGTACTTGTAAGCCTAGCTTTAGTTAATGAGTAGTTAAAAGGTTTAACCATGAAGCCTAGTATGCATCTTCTTAAGCATGTCATATGCACATGTTTGCACTCTCAACTGTTTCTAAAAATCTCTAACCTGTATTTATGAACTCTTTTTAATGGGCAATTACATTCCTTCATTTTCTCTGTTATGAATTATCTTGTGCTGATTTGTTTCCCTTACTATTCCAGGTATTTTTCTGAACTCTAAGAAGCTAACTAGCTGATTCTGGACCCGTGGGCCACTGGTTTGCATGTTTCACAGGTTTTTTTTTTAGTAGTGGAGGCACCATGTGGTTTGCAGTCATTTTCGCTTCAACTTGGGGACCAGAATTAGAACTTTATCCATACTTTGAAATGTCTTTTAAATAGATGTGATATGTGTCCATGTGTGCATGCCATTTTTGCACATTCCAATGCATCTTCACTGTAGTACCTTGCATTTAGGTTGGCATTACTCATTATAGACATTGACTGAAACCCTTATACATGGTAGAATAGGCTCATTCTCCACGGTAGATGGAACTTTGTTCCAGAATAGTTTCTATCTCCAATCTATGTTTCATGATGCTTGTAGTTAGAGAACATTAATATATAGCTGTCATTGGAACTAAGCAGCTATACCTTTTCTGATCTTTAACTTAGTTATGTCTTTAAGGATGCTAGAGAGCTTAACACTATTTAAATGAAATCGTTGTTATTTAGCTTTACAATTTTACCAAATACATTCTTCGTTATTTAGCTTTCCTATAAATTCCTGGATTTTAAAGCATTTGCATTAAGATTACCCTCTTTACATATTTGCATGATCACTTTTATTGATGTATCGAACTGTTGCTGTGTAAATTGGTTTCGAATGTTCTATTCATATCATTTGTTGCAGCAGTTGGAGTTAGCACTGTCAGGTGAAGTTGCTCCAAAGAATGTAGTTGAGGAGCCAACAGCAAATAGAGTGCGGTCACCTCCTTCACCAAGATCTGTGATGCCTCCTCCTCCACCAAAGACCATCACACCACCACCTTCTAAGACCATATCTCCTCCGTCATCAAGAAGCATGCGTCCTCCACCATCACCATCTAAGACCCTGTCTCCTCTATCATCAAAAACCATGCCTCCTCCACCACCGCGATTTACACCAACAGCTCAACCTTCAAGATCACAGGAGGACAATCACATAACTGTAAAGAAACCAAATCCAGTTCCAGGTATATTAATCAATTGGTTCTTGTGTTTCACCCCCTGTTGATTTACTTACTCTTTTTATGCTGATATGATATTGAATATCGGGTTTCACGAAAACTTAGCATAACCGAGCAGCCTAGCTTCAGATTTATGATCATTTACGTATCTTGATGTTGCAGATACGTTGATAAAACTGATGGAATATGGAGATGATGAAGACGACGATGACGATCCTGATGAGACATTGACCATCAGATCATGACAATGTATTATTAGATTACAGAACCTTTTTTATCTTACAACAAAATACCAATTTATGTTTGTAACATTAGAAATAGAAACGTCTGATTCAGAGAACTCATGCCTCAGGCTTTATCAAGTTTACTTGTTTTACATTTCTTTAGCTTTCATCCAACATTTACCTATGACTCTATTTAGATTAAATAATAGTCCTTTGCAAATTCTATAGATGTCTTTTTGAGTACTTACTTATTCCAAAACATAACGTGTTGGAGAAAATTCCATAAAATTTCCGCTTCTAATTTTAATTTGGAAGTTTAATACCCAATGTTATTTGGTTGGACACAAAATGCATGGTTTATTAATTTGTTGTCTATTAAATCACAAGTATATAAAAATTGTCGAATCGAAAAAACCGCTTAACAAACGATAATCGGATTGACGGAATCACTAAACCGGGGTGAATGGAATTACACTAAACTTAGGGTTTATCGATCCCAATTCGATTTGGGGTAATAGCAAAGGACAATGCAGTTTTTGGATAACCCCAAATTACCCGTGTGTTTAAGGATTAGTGATTTCGTCAACCTCGGTTTAGTGATTCCGTCAATCCAATTAAGCGGTTTATTCGATTCGACAATTTTTATATACTTAATGTATTAAAGACCAAAATTTAATAAACTATGCATTTTATTTCCAATCAAATAACGTTAGTTATTAAACTTTCAAATTAAAATTAGATGGGGATTTTTAATAGAATTTTCCCTAACGTGTTGTGTGACTTATGAGTATAAAAAAGAAATACCAATTTGGTCAAAGATCATTCATATAAATTTTAAAATTTGTAATACAATTTGCAGAAGAATAAAATATCATTGACCATCAAGTTGCAATTTTAGTTTTGTCAACGAAAATTCCAAATGAGTTAAAATATTCATCAATTTGTATGGTGTGGTACCATGGAACGTAGTGGCAGTTGACCAAAGACTTCTGCAAAAATAGTGATATGGTCAAAGACTCAAAGTCATTATCTTTGGACTTGTCTCTTACTCCTAAAACTCATTCATTGTCTTGAAGACAGAACAAACAAACAACAAAGACTTTTATTTCACTAAAACATATTCAATGAAATGATGAATATAAAGATTACAAAGGTCAAATAAATTCAATACAAATGAAGCAAATTACATGTATTTTTCTATACGTATAACATAAAAATAAGTATCATAAGAATCACCAAATACAATTCATCATCATCATCTTCTGTAAGAATTGTTCAAGGATTTAGGAGAACCAGCAAAGAGATCTAATAAGAGTCTCTCAAGATCATCAGTAGTGTACTTAGTATACCTTTCACTTACAGTGTTCTTGTGTCTACTGTAAAATGTCCAGTATGCTTGGATCACCCACATAGATGCCTTTGTCCTCACATCTTCTCTTAGCCCTTCATCTGAAATTAGCCAACCAGTTTGGGACTTGTATACTTCCTCGAACGCGGTGTTGAATCCTTGAAACCGCTCCCTTGGGCGTAAGTTTCTTGAACCCGAGCCTGAGCCTGAACCAGAATCGTCCTTGAGGTAGGATAGGACAGGGAGCCAAGTGGCACGTTCGTACTCTGTTGCTTGCTGCTGAAACTTCCATGTATGTTTTCGGTTCCATTTGTCGCCGAAGATGTGTCTCAACTCGGACTTTAGCACTTTCCGGGTCATGTAGTGTATGTTGTTGAGGAGAAAAATGTGTCGCAGAGAGATATCTCTGTATAGTTTTGATTTCTCTTGAAGATTGGTTTCGAGAACCGAGGTTATGGAGTAGAAATGTTGGGTCATTGCGAGAAACTTTTCTGGTGAAGAAGAGTGTTCGTGAGTAGACTCTTCTTCGACCATCACAGGATTGATAATATCCGGCGATGGTGGTAGTTCTTCTACATCGTCGTGTTCCATAAGAAGAGAGTCGAGCGTGTGGCTGAAATCTGTTAGCGCCATGAGGTAGTTCATCACGTAGTTTGTAAGCGGGTGAACCGCTCCTCCTGGGAAAGGATGAGATGAGACATCCGAAGCAATGGCGCTTTTAAATTCAAGGAATGTTGTTCTTGCACAGTCCCCAAGTCTCCTCATCACCTCCCTGTATTCTGTTCTAACAGATGAACCAGGCTGATCCGTGAAAAGAGCATCGATCTCTGGTAAAAGCTCGGATGCTAGCTCATACATTTCAAGAATCCTAAGCAGTTTCTCGGGTTGTCGTGGACCAAGAGACACAGCTTCACCAAAATTGAGCAACTGCATCATCGGAGCCTTTACTGTATCAACAAAACATGTTAGACCAATCTCGTTCACATCCCCAAAGATCTGACTATCCAGAGACTTCTCGCTTAAGAGATATATCTGGACAATATTTCTCATAACCCGAACCCATTTCTTGATATTCGTATTCAGCGTCGCCCAGTCCATCCTCAAAACATCTTCAATACTCAACTTCTCAACCTCATGGCTATAAAGAAACTCATCCAGCGCGTCTTTTCTAACCATTGTACATACCTGGATACACTCGCGATCATATCCCGAAGCAATCATAGTATCTGCAATGTTCTTGAGATCTGATATAACATCAGGATTAATCAAATCAACCACGATTTCCCCTGAGCTTCTCCTACTATTGTTATTGCTTCCAAGAATCAAATCCTCAGTAGAAGCAGCACCAAAAGAAGCCATGGAACCTTCTTCCACACCATGATCCGCTTCAATAGACCGAAACGAAGTATGTTCAATCTCAAAAGGCAATCTATTCTCCACAAGAAGATGCTTAAACTCCTCCTCAAGCCGTGCCATCGCCGTTTGAAGAACATCATGAGCTTTCCTCAAAGAAACCTCCTCGTTCCCAGTCTTTGAACCGTCCAACCGATCAATCAAACTTCTCAACTCATTCACAGCATCCAAATACAAACTCCCTTCACCTGAACCCAAATCCCAAATCATTGATTCATCAACCTCCCTAGTCATAATCTTCTCACTAACAACATTAAGCCTTTCCTCAATCTCACTTACTTCATCTTCCTCATCTCTATCTTCAGATATCACTACCACACGAGACAACTCTACTAAAAGATTCCCCAAAACCTTCTTAGCCTCATTAGTAAAACTCTTACCAGATCTAATCTCCTTCACAAGATACTTAGCAGCAACAATCAATTTCTCTTCTCCATCTACCACCTCAAACTCTCCCATCTCCACACAAGCTTACCCAAATAACAAACTTAAAGCTCTAAACCCTAACTCTCAAACCTTGAAACCCATTCAATAAAACCCACAAGAAAGAATCACAAAAAGACTTAACCTTTACATGAAAGATTGAATCTTTATAGTGAAAAGCTTAGCAAAACAGGATCTTTTGTCAGAAACAGAGATTGGAGAAGAGAAGAAAGAAACGTACAGATTGAAAAAAAAAAAAAAATCAAACCTTTTGGTCTGATTGAAAGAAAAAAATGTAAATTTTCTTGGAGAATAAATTTTCCGAGAAAATCTCTGTTTCTGCTCTTCAAAATGTTTTCTTGTTTTAGGACTGATTTGTTTTGTTTCTTTATATGACCAGAGGAAGAAGAAGAAGAAGATTCAACGGAAGAAAATGTAGACGCTGTATTATAATTTTATTGTTTATTATCCACAAACAATTAAGTAATAAATATATTAAATTATTTAATATATTTAATATTTAATTACTTTGCTTAACACACTCAGTTTTTAATTTTAAAACAAATGCACACCAACAAAATTATTTTTATATATATTTTTCCAATTAGATTAGTTAGATGTGGTTTTTGAAATGTGAGAAAAGAATTTGAAATTTATATTAAAAAGGTAAGATTTTTTTTAAAAATATATTTGACCTCTTAGGAGTGATAATGGAAGATTAGTGGTGTGATTATGTAAATGGGAAAATTTAATGAAATGTGCAACTTGGAGACTGTAGCAACTAGCAAGGACAAACTTTATTTTTGTGGTTGAAGAAGACTTCAAGGGTCAAAGCTAAATGTTACAAGTTGATTGCTTTGTGTTTCGTGTGATGATAATAGAAAATTGAAGAACAAAAAAATAAGTAAAAAGAAAATTGGTAATGAATTTAAGTGTAAGATTAAGTTGAATAACCATTAACAAAAACGAAAACATATACGATAAATTCTAAAATTTGAGTAAAAAAATCGAATTTCTAAAAAATTAGAAAAAGTGGTTCAGTTTAGTTATCAACTTATCATATGGATTAATCATATATTGTATATTTTGTTATTTGTTAATTATATTTATGTTATATCGAATATTTAAAATAATTGATTTTTTTTTTTTTGGTAATTCCCGGGAGCATAGCTCCCAATTTATTCAACTAAAATTAAAAAGAACAAACTACACACGAACTCGTCATGGATGTCCAACACTAAGACTATCGTCTCTTAAGATTGATGCCACAACCGGCGGAACCAAATCGAAAGAGTGAAAACCAAAAGGTAAAGAAAAAGCATAGTTAGCCAACCCGTCAGCGAGACAGTTGGCCTCCCTATACACGTGAACAATACGGACTATCCAGTCCCTCGATAAAAAGCCATGGCACAGGCGTACCAGGAAAGACAGCGGGTGCGTATCACTAATCCCTGTCTTCAGAAACCAGACCACCAACTGTGAATCAACTTCAAGCTCTAACCGTGTAATCCTCCGCTCCCAAGCAATGTATAAACCGTAGTATACACCCCATAACTCGGCTAAGGGTGCCGTACAACGTCCAATATTAAGCACAAATCCACCACACCACACGCCATTCGTATCTCGTAAAACTCCTCCTGCCGTGGCAAGACCAGGATTCCCTCGAGAAGCCCCATCCGTGTTAAGCTTCACCCAACCCTCCGGTGGTGGCTTCCACCCTATCATTCTCTCGACCCGTGTATCATTCGTATGAGACCCATAGATCCTCGCATTTGCCACAGTCACTTCTCCAGCTAACTCTTTGATGAACCGTATCCTATCTCGACACTTCGCATTCGTGCCAAACACGTTCCCGCATCTCCATTTCCAACCCCACCACGCTCCCATAGCAAAAATCGTCGACCAGCGGCTATTGTATATGACACTCTCATCACCCAGATTATTATAAATCCATTCAAACAAAGACTGTGTAAAGAACACTTGGCGCTTCCGCTGAGGCACGATTCGCTCCCAAATACCCGACATAGCTGGACAATCTCTAAGGATATGCAACGTCGTCTCCTTACCCCCTTTGCAAATAGAACATATATCCGAAGTGGACAAGTGACGTCGAAACCTCTCTTCATTCGTCATAAGCGCCTGGTTCGCGACTAGCCAAAAGAAACATCTCACACGTTCCGGTGCCATCACTTTCCAAACCCGACTAAGAAATAACTCCCAACTCGGTCTTGGCAAATAATCTCGTGTTAAAAACGTGTACGCCGATTTAACTGAAAACCTCCCATCCGCAGTCCCACTCCAAGCTATGCGATCCCTCGCGCCAGTAATATTATCAAGCACAACCGCCATCAATTCCAACCTGGTGAACTCGGAAACATGTGGCATAATCCTTGGAAATAACCAGCCTACACCTTCTTGCCAGAAGTCTCTAACAGTAAGAAGCTCATACCCTATTGGAAGATCCCCGACCACTCTCTCAATTATGGGTGTGTTAAACAGCCATCGATCCGTCCAAAACTTAATTCGCCTTCCATCACCGAGAACCCAACCCATACCCGGATAGACGACTTCTTTCAATCCGACTATTACACTTCGCCAAGTGGAAGACCAAGTACCCTTCGATACCAGCCATGAACCATCTTGAACATCCTTAACTTTATATTTTTTTCTCACCAACCTCGCCCATAGGCTATCCTGATCGTGAAGAAATCTCCAGCCGAGCTTCGCGATGAGGGCCGTATTCGTTTCTTGCGCAGCACGGATACCAAGTCCACCCTCTGACTTTGGTAACACGACTTTACTCCAGCCAACTAAATGTTGCTTTCTGCAGTCCACTGTACTACCCCAAATAAAAGACCTTGTCAACTTATCAATACTCGCGAGTGTAGACTTGGGTAAACAAATTGTACTCATAGTATGCACCGGAATAGAGTTTAAGACTGCTTTTGCCAATGTCACCCGTCCCGCAAAACTTAGCACTCGACCCTTCCACCCCGCTAACCGAGACGACATCCTTTCAAGGACCTCACCAAATGTCTCCTTATTAATGCGTTTTTGTAAGACCGGCATACCCAAATATTTGCCCAACTCCCGCGTAGAGCTAATACCACTCTCCTGGCTAATCTCTTGTTCCAAACTCCGAGGGACATTATCAGAGAAAAAGATCTTGGACTTCTCTAGACTGACTTTCTGCCCAGACGCCCCACAGAACAGCTCAAGGATGCCTCTAATAACCCGTATCTGAGCAACTGACGCCTCAGCAAACAAGATAAGGTCGTCCGCAAAACAGATATGTGACAATTTAGGCCCACCTTGAGAAAGACTTATCGGTTTCCACCTCTTCTCGAGGACTGCTCGCTCAATTAAATGGCGTAACCTCTCCATGCAAAGAACAAATAAATAAGGTGACAAAGGGTCACCTTGTCGAAGTCCCCGCTTTGGCTGAAACGATGGTGTCTTCTCCCCATTCCATAAAACATTCATCAATGGACCCGACACGCACTGCATTATCCATCTCACCCACTTCTCGGACAAACCAGCTGCAATAAGAGTGTCTTCTAAAAAATCCCACCGAATACGATCGTATGCTTTCTCAAGATCCAATTTAAGAAGCATCCATCCTTTACGTCCTTTCTTTCGCCTCATAGAATGGACAGCTTCTTGCACCACTACTATATTGTCCGCACTTAACCTTCCCGGAATAAAACTCGCTTGTGCCGGGCCAATCAACTTGCCAATCACTCCTTTGAGGCGCCCCACCATAGTCTTGGTAATTGTCTTAAACAACACATTACACAAACTAATTGGACGGAATTGAGTAATTCGTTCCGGCTTAGCCACCTTCGGTATAAGCACAAGAAGTGCATCATTCGTTGACTGAGGTAAAGATCCCGTCTCGAAGAAATTCAACACGAACCGAACAACCGACTCCCCCACAATATCCCAACAATCTTGATAGAAAACGGGTTGGAAACCGTCCGGCCCCGGGGCCTTATACTTACCCATACTCCTCACAGCCTTCTCAACTTCCATCCCTCCAAAAGGTTTATTTAAGCCCAACTGGTCCTCCCTATCAAGGGTCACAAAACCGTCTCGAGGTAATATCTCCATTACTGGTTCCACATCCTCCATGGAATATAATCGAGTATAATACTCAACTGCTAAGCTTTCAAGCTCCGCACCATCTGATATCCACCTGTCATCATTATTCTTCAACATCGCAACCCGATTATGCCTCCTCCTAATAACTGTAGATGTGTGGAAGTATTTAGTATTTCTCTCACCCAAGGTAATCCACTTTTCCCTCGATTTTTGGAACCAAAGTACTTCCTCTTGTTCCAGCACCACTTCAAACTCCTTAAGCAACTCCTCTTCCTTTCGTAACAGATCATCAGTCTGAGCGTGTTCTAGCTCATCTTGGATACTCTTTATTTCACTTTCCAACTTAACTTTCCGATTGTGGATATCGCCAAAAACCTCCTTATTCCACTTTTTCAAAGTTCTTTGTAATGATATCAAAGCTTCTTGAGTCGTGATCTCCCTCTTCCAAGATGAGACCAAGAGATCCTTGAACCCCGGATGGCTTAACCATGCTGCTTCAAAGCGAAAAGGTCTTCGCCTAGGATCATACCTCGCCTGAGGAGAGAGCTGAATGTATAATGGAGCATGATCAGATGAGAGAAAAGGAAGATGAGTCACTGACGCCTCCTGCCATTTAATACGAGCATGCGCGCAACACAGGACTCGATCCAGCCTTTTAGCAACAAAGCAACTCGCCACTCGACCTCTCTTCCAAGTGTACTTGTTACCCCGAAACCCCATGTCGATCAAGGCGTGATTATTTATCCAATCTCCAAATGATAACGAATCTGATGAAAGCCGACCATTCCCACCTTGTCTCTCATCCAACCGAACAATCGTGTTAAAGTCTCCACCGATAACTAAAGGACCCGTCACACTATTGATTACTTCGCTCAGTGTCTCCCATAGGCCGCTTCTTCTGCTAACCGTTGGAGCGGCGTAAACCACGATTAAGTTTAATACTTCTTGATCATTCACCACCTTTGCATAGATAAACTGCTCAGAGTGCTTCACAACCTCGACAACCCCAGCGCTCGACCGCCATAATAACCATAAACCGCCACTTTGTCCCACTGCATCAACTCTAAAAGAATTATCAAAGCCCAAACCTTGACAAATCTCCCTTGCTCGCTCCCCTCCAGCATGAGTCTCAAACACGGCTAACACATCAGTCTTGAACCGCTTCAAAATGTACCGCATAGATCGTCTAAAATTGGGTTTATTTGTCCCCCGACAATTCCATAATAAGCAATTAATCATTATTAACGTCCAACAACAAAGTGGGAAAGTCGGGGACACCTGTTATGCATTTATTTCGGCCGACGTAGACGTCATGACCGGTTGCATAACCTCGTTGGACTGAACCAATCCCTCCATCCGGTTCAGTTTTGGGTTTTGACTCCCCTCAGTTGATCCTTGGTTGAGCATGCCATCTGATTCAACACCCGCATGAATTCCTGTACCAAACGTACCGCCTGGTCTTCCCACACTAGCCGGTTCTACTCTCAATCGTTTGCCATTGGCCGACAAACCTCCTTCGGCAGTCGAGGGTCCAAAGATTAGTCCCCGCATAGGCTTACTTGTAACTAAGCTTTTGGGCCCATTAACCTTCTTGTCTATGGGCCTTCCATGGTTAGCCCGTTTCTCAGTCTTTCCAGCCCGACCTCTCCCATTCAGACTTGCCGACGCCGCACCAAACACAACTCATGTGACTTGCTTCCCACCCTTTCCTTTAGACCTCGGATCCCCTACACCCGCATTTTCCTTATCCGATACACAAATTGAATTCCCTTCCCTTAATTCTGAAGCTTCCAACTGTGTATCTAAGTTTCCAAATCTATTTGATATCGCAATATTCCCCGAATCCCGACCGGTTGTGATTTCCCGGAGATTACGTCCCGCTTCTCCCGACGCTTCAGGCACCGTATTCTCACACGACTGGGGCTTCTCCGTTCGTCTAGAGTTTCTTCGGACCAACCGGAAACCGTCATTAGGCTGCGAGACCACATTCTGATTCAACTCTTGGGTTGACTGCGTAGTTTGCGAAGCGACCAGTTTTTCCTGCATCGTCTTCGGACATGCGTGAACAAGATGCCCGTACAAACCACACGCTGAACATATACTTGACAGTCCCTCATAAGACACAAAGAACCTCTCATCATTCACCATGATTGTGCCCTTCAAGGGCTTTTTCAAATTCACCTCAACACACACTCGGGCAAACCTAGCCCTGTCCAAATTTTGCGTGGTTAAATCCACCTTAAGTGGCTTTCCCAACCCTTCAGCAATACCCATTAAAATCTGTCGATGATAAAAGAGCATTGGTATATTCGAGAGCCGAACCCAGACTGGTGTCGTCGTAATTTCATCTCTCATTGGATCAAAATCCGGTGACCAATCTTGGACCATAAGGTAACTTCCAAAAACTTTCCACGGTCCTCCTGTCAACGCCTCCATGTACTCCTCCTCCATATCAAATCGCACCATAAAGAACTGCCGAGGGAGATCCGTTACGTGCATCGCACCCTTCGGTTTCCACAACTCGCGTAGCTTCCTACTCATCGCCGCAATAGGTATATTCCGACCCAAAACCTTGACAATCATACACCTTTTCCATAACCCCCGCATCACCGTCAAAACTTCACTACCAATCGTGACAAAAGGTTCCCCTTCCTCCCCATCCGGGAACGCCAAGTCCATCCTCGCCTTAACAAACTCATCAGCCAGCACTTGCTCTGGCCGGATCATCCCTCCACCATGACTTCCAACCACAGCTCTCAACTATGGACTGGGGGCGTCCGGTGGATCTCCCGGTGGTCGTTCCTTTTCCCCAATTTCCATCATAGTAGCCTCTTGGTCACGCACCCGTGAAACCCTAATATCGCCGTCGCTCATATTCTCTCTTAGTACTACGAAATCTTTTGGAACTGTATTTTTTATTTAAAATAATTGATATGTTTAGAAAGATCAATTTACAAAATGCTAACGAGCATTTATTATAAATAAAATCAGAATTTTTTTATAAATAGTATTTTTTTTTACTTGATATCATTTTGCAATGATTTTTTAATTAAGCATAAAAAATATTTGTTTCCATTTTTTTCTCTCTAACTTCTCATATCACATATAAAAAACCTTAATATTAAATTAAATTTTGGTATATAACAGATATGTTCAGTGGATAGTAACCGGCTACTAACTGCAATTGCGACGAAGATCCAAAAAAAATCATATAGATGTTTTAGGATTTTGAGTAGCATGATTCATTTTTTGTTAAAATCAGAAAAAATAAAAATATTAATTGTTTGATTATTTATAAAAATTTAACCAATATAAAATACTAGAAATTTAAATGATCATAAATGATTAAATTAATAAAAACTATGTATGAAAACTTGAGAAATCTAACAAAATAGAATAAATAAAAAAGCATAAAAATCTTATATATTGGAATATAAAGAACCTTATTATTTTTTTCTTTTTCAGTTGCTATATAAACGTACTCGGCTTTGGACACTTTTAAAATCAAGTTGATAAGATACGTCTAAAAATAGTTACTAAATCCAAAATTTATTTTTAAATAGAAAAGTCAATAAGATGGTGAGAGTCTTATACCAATAAATATGAATTTGTTGTCGAAATCAATTATTCGGAACAAAAAGAAAAACTACCAGTAAAATCTCTATAAATTAATAATGTTGGAACCATAAAAATCTATTAATTTATAGAGGTATTATTTATCGATAAATTAATAATTATTAATTTATAGAGAGATATTCCTAATTTGGAAAATATTTTCAAAAAAATATTTAAAAATAAGATTTAATCATGAAAATTAGTATTTTATTTATTCAATTACAAATAAAATAATAATAATTATGTATTAAAAGAGAATGCCACCTATTTTTCATATAGTAAAATATTAGAAATAAAATCTAACAAAAACTAATGTGTCTATATATACATGTATTTTGAAAATTTTACCTAATCATTAATTTATAATATTGATGGGGCCATATATTTACAAAGGAATTTAAAAAAAAATTATTATCTTATTATTTTATCGAAATATGTCTAAAATTACACTGGTCCCAACTTGGGACCCCAGAAATTTATTATTTTATAGAGATTATTAATTTATCGAGTATTAATTTATAGAGGTTTTACTGTACTAACGATTTATTGAAATGTCTTCTGAACTATATAAAATTAATAAAATTAAGGTATTAGTCCAAAGCTTAGAACCTCTTTTGTGGAAAAGGTAACTTGATTAGGTCCATCAAAGTAAAAAAGATATTAAATGTTTAAAGCTTCAAAAGATTTTAACAAACAAATATTTAACTAGAGGGTTTAATAAACGTGAGAAATGAAATGAATATGAAAAAAAATCAGATTGCTGTACAAATCTAGTGTTATTCAATTTTGTATCTTGTAAATTCTTTTAAAATCTAATTTATACAATGCATAAAAATATTTTATTAATTAAATATTAGTGTTTTCAATATAAGGATGATATTGGTATTAATGTCGTTAAACAAGAATTTGATACAAAACTAAAAAAAATTGTATCTTGTCCGAAACTAAACATGAAAGATAGGAAAAACAATGCAACAAAATTGTTAAAGTAACATAGATTATAAAGAATGCCTTAAATATACTTCTAGAAGTTATTTTTTCGTAGAAATATGAAAAAGAAGTTTGATTTCTTGTGTATAACATTTTATATAAATTGTAAAGTCATCTTTTTGACTTGAATGACAAATTCCTTGAAATGAGAAAGACGTCATTTTGAAGTACAAAAGCAAAGAGAAACTATAATTTACTGATTAAAATGGCATCTCCAAAGTTCACGATTTTTTCGTCGCAAATTTGAAAGTTGGCGATTTATTTAACCTTTTTCTCTCTTGATGGTAAGATGGTGACGGCGGTGACATGTTTCTCAAGATAAGAGATGGTATATTATCTCCATGGATTGTTAATGGTTTTAACTCGATTGGTGTTGGATTTGTTTGCTCATGTAAGGGTTCAGTTTCGGAATGGAAGTTCTGTAATAGAGATCGAGGTGGAAATCTGGGTATTGAATGGAGATTGTGTGAGTGGATCCGGAGCTCTGTTTCAAATTGAATTCACATCTTTTTTTTTCCGATTCTGTAGCGCATCTCTTGGGGATCTTGCGGCTCTTGCACAGAATGGCTTATTTTTGGCATGCGATGTTATCGCGGACATGGAAAATCACGGTGATTGCTGGTTTGATTGTCTCCAAGGATTCCCGGTATCTGTTTTGGCTGATTTGGGGAGATTTGATTGAAAGCAATGGTGGATTAAGGAAGGCTCTTATGAGGAATCAGATTGGCAAATCAGGAATCTCTTTGGTCTACGAGGGCTATAAATTGGTCCGTTCTAGTGCTTTGTTCTTCCACACTTCAACTTTGCCTTTCTTCTTCACATTCGCTTCTTCTTCTCCCTTGAATTTTTACGAGGAGGGAATCCGGGTGGTGCAGGAAGTGATTACAGAGGATACTAATGCTTTTCTAACAGCGCATGTCATAGAAAAAGAGATCCATGATGCCTTTTTTATGATGCATCTAGAAAAACCTCCAGATCCGGATGGCATGAACGCCCTATTTTCTCAGAAAGCGTGGAAGGTCATCAAGGAGGATCGGGTTCCATTGGTTACAAAGTTTTTTCAGGAAGGTTGTTATGATAAACGGCTAAATCAGACAAACATTTGTCTTATCCCGAAGGTGGAGAGACCTTCAGGGATGGCAGAGTTGCGACCCATTAGATTGTGCAATGTGGGTTACAAAGTCATTTCAAAATTTCTTTGTCAACGACTTAAAACGATTCTTCCAAGCCTCATCTCGGAGACATAGACTGTTTTTTTGGTAGGGGGGATGATTTCGGATAATATCCAGGTGGCTCAAGAAATGTTTCACAGTCTACGGACAAACACTTCTTATAAGAGTAAGTTTCTGGCCATTAAAATGGATATTAGTAAGGCTTATGACAGGGTCGAATGGGTTCTCTGAGAAATGAATTTCATGGATTATATATTGTATGTCTCCGTGTGTTGATTAATGGTCAACCTAAAGGATTAATCAGCATGCGGGCGAGGACGACGACAAGGAAACTCTTTATCCCCGTATTTGTTTATCCTTTGTACAAAATTTTTAATCTCAAACATTCGAAAGGCGGAACAAGCTAAGCTGATAACAGGGAACAAATGTCCGCTTATCTCCCATCTCGTATTTGCAGATGATAGTTTATTCTTCTGCTGGGCAAATACGGAGAAATGTGCGGTTATACTTTGTATACTAAAACAATATGAGATGATGTCGGAACAACAAATTAATTTCTCAAAATCGTCTATGCTATTCGGTCATACAGTGGATTTAAATACTAGCGCGGAGATACAACAAACTCTTAGGATTGTTAACTTAGGTGGAATGGGATCCTATCTTGGATCACCGGAAAGTTTAGGGGAAGCAAAAACACAAGTTTTCTCCTTTGTACGGGACATATTAAATAGTCATATAAATGGGTGGTCGGCGAAGCTGCTATCCAAGGGCGGAAAGGAACTAATGATTAAATCGGTGGCAGTTGCATTACCAACCTACGTAATATCATGTTTTCGTCTCCCGAAAACAATAACATCGAATATGCATTGGTGTGCCTGGGATAAGCTCTGGTTGAGCAAGGAGATGGGAGGGCTGGGTTTTAGAGATGTTAATGATTTCAACTCGGCACTGTTAGTAAAACAACTTTGGCGATTATTAGATGCCCTAGATTCTCTTTTTGTGTATGTTTTTAAAGGACAGTACTATAGGAACTCTAATCCTATGGAGTCAATCAAATCAAACTATCCATTATATGGCTGGAGGAGCATAATTTCAGCTAGATCTCTGGTTACAAAAGGTCTAGGGTATACCGTTTCAGTTAGGACGAATCCCTGGATCCCGTCTCAATTTTCGAGACTAACTATAAGTAATGGGTCGCTTATGGACCCTTCCTTGCAGATACGTCACTTGATAGACCGTCAGTCAAATTCTTGGAGGTTATATACACTTCAAGAGTTTTTTACTCCAGAGGATGTTTCTCTGATTAGGGCCATGCCTATTGGGAATTCTTCGATGAGAGATTCAATAGGATGGCATTTCACGAAGACTAGAAAGTACATGATAAAATCTGGTTATCATACGACCCGAATGGCTGATCCGCGACTTCATATCCAACAGGTTTGTGGACCGGATATAATCCCTTACTAGCACGTAGATGGAAGATGCAATGTCGACCAAAAATTCAACATTTTTTTGTGGCAATTGTTGACAGGATGAATATCGGTCTGTGCAAATTTTTACTAGCATGGGATACAGTGTGACACAAAGTGTGTTCGGTGTGCTAACCTAATAGAGACGGTTAATCATGTTGGCAAGAGGCTCAGATTGAAGATTTGGGGCTCCCCTAGTTCCCTTAGTACCTAATACTGATTATCGGAGTCATATTCCTAGCCGAATGGTGCTCTTACCATCTCTGTTTACATGTTATCAATGTTTTATTGATGGTTCCTGGAAGGATACAAAAAATTTTGCAGGTTTTTAGGTTGGTACTGCCAGCATGCTCACGAGTCTCCCCGGTGATGGGCGCCTCCAATCTCCGCTGAAGCCTTTCTCCTCTTCATTATGAAGTTGAAGTGCTAGTCTGGGCGATGAGATGTATGATTAGCCACAACTACAGATATGTTATGTTCCTGACAGACTGTTCCGATTTGGTGAAGATGGTGTCTTCTCCATCCGAATGGCCGGTGTTCTCTGTCTGCCTCGACGACATTAACATGGATAAGGAAGAATTCTCAAATTTTTCTCTATCTCTTATTTCAAGGCAATTCAATGTAATGGCGGATTCTTTGGCACGCAAAGCTCGTTCCAGCCCGCATTAACATGATTATGACATGTGTCGAGTATATTAATCAAATGTTGACATATGTAAAAAATATCAGTCTTTTTTTGTTTTAGTAAAAATAATAATTAAGAAAAAACAATCTATATATTTTATGGTGATTGAATTCCGCAAAGCCAGAGCCGCAATCATCCAATCACATGTTTTATATTATAAGATTTCAATGCTTCTACATCAGGAGGTCTGGGGTTCGAGCCCCAAATAGCGCGATTTATTAATATTTCTGCAGACTAATGGAGACAAGTAACACGAGATCTCTAGTGATGCGCAATTAGAGCCGTTCGCCGTGATTCTAGCTATTGAAGGAGAAGATAGTTTCCTAGGTTAACATGGAGAAGGAGGCGTTCAAGATCAGCAAAGAAGTGTTGTCAATAGTGAATCGAATATGGTCGGAAGGAATTACCCATGGTAGATTATCTTCGTAACAATTCTCATAATTTGTAATAATTAATAAATCTACAGACGATCAAAAACAAAAAAAATTAGCGCGAGTTGTTATGTTAAGTTTACTTAATATAAATAGGATTATATAAGAACTAGATATCGACCCTTGCGTTGCACGGTTTTTGGTTATGTATTGTTGTCCATTTTACTTATAAAAAAATATGATTCCTCCTTTTTTATATTTTTAGTGATTTTTGTATTATTTATGTATAATTGTTTTTAATTGATATATTTAAGGGGAATTGCAATGTATAACGAACAAAAAAATTATAAATTATTGAGTAACCATTCTAACCATCAAACTATCATATTGTATGTATTATATGTATTAGTGACAGCTTTTGCTCTTTTTGTCTTCTTTTTCTTTTTAGTTATTTATTTCCTTTTATTTTTATCCCTATATAACTGAATACTACTAAGGTTTCCATATGAATTATTTTAATTGTGTATTTTCATTTTAAAAACATAGATCGCTTTTGTTTATACTATGATTATAATTTCTTAAAACACACTAATTTAATTATGATGAAATTTCTTATTATATTGAACAAACAAATATTCTATTCTATTTTCTTTTAAAAGCAACAATACATATTCAAATATTGAAATTATTTTTTACTGCTTTTAACTAAGATGAACATTCTATCAGTTTGCTTATGTTGTATTTCTTAGATTATAATATTTATTTAATGTCGTTTGTTTAATTCTAAAGTTTTTCATAATGATTATCACTTAGGGTATAACGTAAATTCTTGTTGTGCGTTTAATCTGGTCGTTTGGGTTGCCTTTATTGTATCCCTTAGGGTATATATGTAACAACCCGCCCCGTGGGACACTCTGCACATGGAACACTCCGCCACATGGCAACCTTACAGCGCTGCAGCGCATCGACCCTAACCTCTCTCATGTGGGTCCAATTTGGCCAACCATCCCTCTGGCCCACCAGGTAGGTTTATTGGTGCGCTTGTCCGGTGGGAAGGTTGTTAAAGGGTGAGGTATTGGGTTCGAGGAACGCCAAGTGCACCAATAACCTACCTGGTGGATCAGAGGGCTGGTTGTCCAGAGTGGGCCCACATGAGAGAGGTTAGGGACGATGCGCTGCAGCGCTTGTGGCGGGGTCCCACGGGATGGGTTGTTACAATATATTCCTTAGTTGATGTGCATTTAAGTCGTTTGTTTGGGTTTTGTATGTTGTATCCCTTAGGGTATACAATAGTTTAGCTTCTTTATTTTTCTATTTCGTCTTTCATCTAAAGTTTTGTCTTTTCACCACGGTCAATAGCCACGACCACCGATATCACCCCAACTACTGCTACCATAACTACCATCACCACAATTTTCATCACCATAGCTACAACCACGATCATAAGTACATCCACACTACCATTGAATTAATTAAAATTGTATTAAATACTTAAATAGTATGTAGTACTAATCTATATTTTGGGTTCCATATAGAAAATTGTTTTCTTTATTACCAATATTATTTATCATTGTAACTACCACCACACCGTATAACCACAACCATGTTGTATAACCACCACTTTCACCATACCGTTATTATCACCACTATAAGTTTATTTTCTATTTTAACTAATTCTTATCCGATTTTAAAAATTCAAATTATGTTCTATAAAGAAAAATTTCTATGTTTGTTTTTAAACTATTGCAAGATTTAACCATTTCTTTTTGTGAGACTAATTTTTCATTTAATACCATGTCATCATCACATTTTTTTCTCTTAGTCTCCGGCCACTGACACCACCATCTCTGATACCACCAGCCACCACCGCCTCCGGCCACCAGTCTCCACCACCTCGGCCAGCAGCCACCACCCATCATTATCACCAAAACATCACAACACCAAAATAGTAAATTTTCATACCCCTAATCCTATTTTTCTATTTTTTTCAATTAATATGCTATATTTTTCACTCCTTTTCTGTTTTGGTTAGTTGACAAATTGGCCCTTAATTATGACGTTATTTATTGAATGTTTTGTTGTTCAAATTATTTTTAACTAAATCATTATGAAATCCTTATGATTTATCATTTATGTCTATTTGTTATGATAAAATTATAACCTCTAAGGTGACTTAAAACCAACATTAAATAATATTAAAAATCCAAAGCTTCCAAAGTAAGTTTATTTTAAAAAATCAAAATCAGTATTAAATACATATTTATAATAATAAAGTTTCAAATTCCTTACTGCGTTAGGTAAATATACCCTTTTTTGGGAATATAATTTTCTTTTATGTAAATCTTATTATACTTAATATAATAAGATTAAAATCATTTTATTTTAACAATTAACTTTAACACGTGTCAAAATCTTAGATCAATAACTTGACAGGTGTCACGATTTCTTTAACGACTAACTTTAGTTTACATTTATTAAAAGAATACCCAATCAGTCTTAAATACATATTTATAGTAATAAAGTTTCAAATTCCTTATTGTGTTAGGTAAATATACCTTTTTGTTTTTAGAATATAAATTTCTTTTATGTAAATCTTTTTTTTTGTCAACTTCTTTTATGTAAATCTTATTATACTGAATATAATAAGATTAAAATATTTTAATTTTAGCAATTAACTTTAGCACGTGTCAAAATCTTAGATCAATAACTTGACACGTGTCACGATCTCGCTAATGACTAACTTTGAAAATCATAATTTATATAATAAGATATTCTGTATTTTCGATTATCATATTCAAAGAGATATGGGTAAAATATATAATCTAAATCTAGATCACTACAAATCAGCTAATAACCCTAAATATTACGATTATAAATTATGTTTTGAATAATTTATTTATTGTTCATTAACTAATTTAATGCTAAAGATATGAAGTTGTTATGATTTCTAATATAGCTGCCATAAAACTGTATCAACGGTTGAGATGAAAACAAAATATTCCGATTATGGACAGAAGATGGACTCAAACCCGAGCATCTTTATAAACGTATCAACAGCTGAGACTAAAACATATTATGTATCCACGATGCACTTATACCCGCGCGTTTACCCGAGTGAAGCATGAACGAAAGACAATACTGCCCTTTTATCACATTTTTTGTTTGTTCATTATATAAATGGCATTTTTTGTAAATACTTTGAAATTCATGCCTAGATCTATAGTGGTACTTCCCCTTTAATAGTAGGGGATATATATAATTTACTTTTTTTGTCAACTATATATAATTTACTTGTTTATATAAAATAATTATCATTTTCCTAAATCAAAAAGAAAATTAACAAAACGGGTGTGGTGAGGCCAAATATTAGACACCATATCAGAGATTCAAGAAATACATGACACAATGAAATTCATAGAGAAGAATATTATAGAGCTTCACCAAGTGTTCATATACATGGAAGGTAGCCCTGGGCACGAAGCGAATATTCGGAAAATTTGTGATATTTGTTATTCGCTTTGCTTCGACCAAATAGTTGATTTTGATATTTGCTTCGATTCGTAAATTTTCGAGTATTCGGAACTTCGAATATTCGAGTATTTTTCGTGGAATAGGCCTGTGGAATACCGAGTATGAACTGAGCCCTGTAATTCCCGTTCATAGGAGTCTTCACTATCGGTGAGAGTTAGCATAGTAAGGAAGTTGTGAAGAAAGACTTGGTTTTCTGAACGAGGATGTGGAAGTAGCCATTTTCCTTGATCATTTAGTTGATGAAGAGTTGCATTTGGTGGGATCCCCATACGAGAAGCTCAATTAGAGTATATGAAGTCTTTCATTGCCTCAAATGGCGACTAATTGTCCGACCAAAACCTATAGGTTAAACCATTTCCCACTCGCAGTTTAATCCAGTTGTATGCCTCTTTTCCTATCTTTAACAACTTATTTGCTAACCAAGAGTAATTTGGCCTTTGATTCATTTTACAGAAGTTGTTTAAAGACCCTCGTAAGAAATGCATCCTAAACCAAGCAACCCAAACAGACCTAGCTTGGAAAAAGAGAAGTCAAACCAATTTGATTGGACAAGCTTTATTCCGGTAAGTCAAGTTTCTTATTCCCAAACCTCCTTCATCTTTTCTTTTTGTTACCATCTCCCATGAAACTCTAGCACTATGATGACCCTCTAGTGTACCTTTCCACAGGAAAGTGCTAGATATAGAGTTTATCTTGCGAATGCATGACTTTGGAAGGACAATAGTGGAGCACCAGATTTTTGAGATTCCTATAATGACAATGTTTATGAGCAGGAGACGTCCTGCAAAAGATAAGGACTTAGTACATCAGTTATTGATTTTTCCTTTAACTTGTTGGATTAGTGGTTCGCAGTTTAGAATAAGTAAGCTTCTTTGTGCATAGACAGTAAGGAAACCATGTTGTAGGACGGTCAAGGAGCTTATTAAGTTAATTTAATCATCATTTAAACCACCACCAAAGAAAGAAGAATTTTGAAGATTGATTGCAAGACCAAATCTTTCCTCAGTCTCCTTAAGAACGCGGAACACACTCTGAACATAAGTGAGGGAACCATCTAAGAAATAAGGAGATCATCAGCAAAGTACATGTGAGTGAGCTTTGTTGTATCACAGTTGTGATGATAATGGAATTCCCCATCTTCTGATGCTTTATTCAACATGAGCAAGAGGTTATTCATGGCTATAATAAAGAGGTATGGAGAAAGCGGAACTCCCTACCTCAAACCTCTTTTGCCTTTAAAATATCCTTGCACAGTTCCATTGTAACCAACAGTGAAGTTTGTTCTGTAGATACAAGCCTGGAGCCAGCTAATAAATTGGTCAGGAACATCTATCCCTTGCAGGCTAGTAAAAAGAAACTCCCAAGATAAAGTAAAAAAAGCTTTTGCAATGTCCACCTTGATGACACTTCTTTTTGGTCCTTGAGCTTTATGGTAACCATTTACTATTTCTGCAGCGAGAATGGTGTTTTCCAGGAGCATTCTATCTTTCACAAATGCAGTTTGGTTGGGGAGGATTAGAGACAGTAGTATGGGTTTGATTCTAGAGACTAGTTTCTTTGAAACAACTTTGTAGAGGGTGTTACAAGAGATAGTGTGATAATCCACATTTGAAGAAGCACCAGGTTTCTTTGGAACCAGACTCAGAATTGTGGCATTTGTTGAGGATGGCATGAATGCTGAAATGAAGAATTGACCAATGGAGGCAGTGACTTCAGCACCCAAGGAATCCAAGCAGCCTTGTAGAAACCATAAGTGAAGCCATAAGGACCAGGAGCTTTGTTTGGGTTCAGTTTTAAAATCACATCTCTTAGGGAGTGGGATCACAATCATAGATTGAGAATGTTCGCTGGAGCATCTAAAAGGATTCAGAGACTGAAACCAAACTTTTGAAGACAACAGAGGTTGGCTGCAGATGATCAGGGCTTAAGACAGATTTGAAATGACTTATTGCATGATTACTCAGTTCCAGTGGATCAAGGAGCATATCGCCCGAATCCGGAAGAAACGACCTAATGTAATTGTAACTTGCCCTTGATTGGCACAATTTATGAAAGTAAGAAGTATTCAAATCTCCCTCCTTAAATCAGTTAATATGAGATTTATGTCTGAAATAGGTCTCCTCAATCATCCTCAGGAAGTTCCATTTAGAACGAAGATCTTTTTCAAGTTGGAAATTCCTAGGAGAAGGGTCTTCAAGGGCTTGTACATACACATCCATTAACAAACAGTTAGTTTCACTCACTCTCTCTTGAATTTTTGAAACGTTCTCTCTGTTTATTTTGTTTGAGTTCTCTTTTAAAGGTCTTTTGCTTCCCACAGAAATGTGAGAGATTAGAAGCAATGCTTCCGGCCTGAATCCAAGCTTCATTCACCAACTAAAGGAAGTTAGGGTGTTTTGTGAGGTAGTTGAAGAATTTATACGATTTGGTTTGAACTTTTGGTAACTGGTAGGCAAGGTCAACTAGCTAGGCTAGGAAAGCCAGATGGTAAAGGTGGAAGGCAGGTTGTTGTACAATTGAGAAACAGCGAGAGCCAGTGGTTGTTTACAAGAACACGGTCAATCTTCTTAGCAATAGAGGAGGATGGGCCTTGGAATCGCATGTCAAACAGTTCGAGCTGATTAAGGCTGTCCCTGAACTCAGTCATAGACGCAGTGATAAAGTTCACACGTGGTGAGGAGTGCTCTTCAAAATGGATAATCTGATTAAAGGAAATGGATTTGTTATGCCATTATTTTCTTCATTGTCGTTTGCACTTTGCTTCTCATACCAACCTTACCTGATAATTTTTTATCATCTTAATTTCAATGTTACGTTTAGTTTTTTTTTTTTTGAAAAAAACCTTTTTAAGACCAGACCATAAAGATTTTTTTTTTTTAAAAAGTATTCTTTGGAATACACAATTTTTTTTTGTTTTAAGTGTGAAGATGGTTTAACTTTATGAAACTTAAAATTTGCATATGAAGCCAAAAAAGTTGAATTTTAGCTTTGAGTATATAATTTGTGCTAATTTTCTAAATTATGTGTTCTCAGAGGTAATTGAATGTCATCATAGAAAATAGCAGAGAATAATAGTGAATATATTTATGGCGATATAAAATAAAACATCATGTAACTATATTAAATAATATGTTAGCGGATATAATCACATATTATCTCCTAACGCTTGTTATAATAAAAATTAACATAAAAAATATATATATATATATATATATCAATATTACCCACAACAATATTAATTTTTATGTGGATAAAAGTGTACTTTCATCCAATGACTTTGAAAAAAATTGACAAAGTTTTTTAATTAAGTACTTTTGAATAGTATTTACCATTACTTTCCCCCAAAATAATTAAAGGAATGAAGCAGCATATAATATATTATTCTTATATTTTCTTCGTGTATATTTGTAATTGTTTTAAAATACAATATAATTGCTAATACATGTATATTATTTATAACCCAACATACCAAAATTTAAGAATATATAGGTATATATATGTTTGGTAAAGTGAAAATGTATAAGTAAATTGAGTTCTTACAACGTACGGTGAGTGTAATTCTCTTATAAACTTAATCAAAAAGGGAAAAGATCATCTATACTATTAGTTTGGGAACACAAGCTGTAGCCAAACAGCCTCCTAAATTTAAAAAAATGTCATGAAAATTAAACGTGTTGCCAAACACATGGGAAAACGGCCTATTCACACATGAACTAAGTTGCTTTATCGCGAACATACACAGAACTTTCATTTGTTCCTATTTCCCCATTAACTAACATAAATTTTGAATTTCATACACCAACTTTACAAATCTGGTTAAAACCCACAAATCGTCAAACGGTGTTACTGTGCTGTCAACAGGTGCTAACCAGGAATGTCGTAAGCAATAAAACGACTGTGTTTTGACGCTTAACCACATGGCTGAAAAATGAATGAAAACGACAACGTTTTAGGAATTGGTGGTTTAATTTCGATTTTACTTTTCCAGCCTAAAATATAAATATGTAAATTTTCCGGCAAAAACATGACGATTGTTGATGATGGTAAGATGAATTGATTATAATGGTATGATGATATAAATTGATTAGATATGATGAATTTAATTATTTATTAATCATTTATTTTTGATATAGTTATTTAATTATTTAACTATTATCATTAATGAGTCAACCCATATAACTTTAAACTCACTAGGTAATGAGTCTAATTGAGTTGGGTTACCCATTTTGACACTTCTAAGGCCCTAGTTAATGCATATATAAAACTTTTTATACAGCTAATATTACAGAAACTATTTTTTTATGAGTTTAACATATTTAAACTCTATATGATAATGTACATGGAAATTGTTTTATACAACTAATATACAAACTATTATTAAATGAAAATATTAATTTATTGGTAATAAATAACTCTAGAAGATTCGCGTATATAGTTAATTAACATAACAAAAAATATTGTTAACTTTTCTATAAAATCATTTGTGACACCTATCAAAATCAAATTATCAATAAATACAACTTTCTATGAAAATGTATATGGAAAACTTTTATACAGCTAAGATACAAAAAGTTATTAAACAAAAATATTAATTTATTGTAAATAAATGGCTCTTAAAGATTTCTGATATAGTAAATTAATTAACATAAGTAAAAGTATTGTTAAGTTTTTTCTAAAGATAAACCAGACTTTTTTTTTACAAAAGTTAAGTTTTTAGTAAAAATACAATTATATATTTCTAAAAACAAAAAAGTACATTTATCTAAGAAAAAAGCAGATTATATTTTTCCATGTTATAATATATATATGTAATCAGATCTTAATACTAGTAAAACAATCATGGCCTTTCTTCCCAAGAGAAGAAAAATGGCAGAATCCTCAAACAAGATGATGAAACTTACTCAAAAAATTCCTGACGATATGGTGGAACACATCATCTCCATGTTTCTTCCAATCAAATCTCTTTTACGAAACCGTATTCTGTCCAAAAGATTTGTGAATACAAATATACAATCTCGTAACCTCGATTTCAGTGGCATATTGTCTAGAAGAAGAAGTCAGTTAGAAGCTGTAAGTATCATCGAAGAAGTGTTTAATAAATATAAAGGATCCGATATTCACAGATTTGTTTTGCTTATCACTCATCTTGGAGTAGAAGATAAAATCATCTCGTGGATCAATACATGCTTTGGTAAAAATATACAAGAGATTTTCTTAGATTTCTCCAAATCTAAGAAAGTTATGGAGATCCCGATCAATTTCTCGGCCGTGGAGACTCTTCAAGATTTGAAGCTGCGATCGTGTAAGTTTGAAATGCTAGAAAATTCTCCAAAAGGTTTAAGACTCTTGAGGACACTCTCACTTATGCGGACTGAGGTGATGAAAGAAACAATAGATGCAGTTTTTAGCAATTGCATCCACCTCGAGTCGCTAGAACTAATCGAATGCAGGATGGATGGCCTGTTGAGCATCCATGCTCAGAATCACAAGAAATTCAAGTTGCTGATTTTGTCGTCTATACAAGATCTTTGGGACATCATTTTGGATGCACCCTCGTTAGAAAAATTACAAGTATAACGGATATGCTATTGGATTTAACTTTGTGAGACCATACACACTCAAAGAGGCAAATCTCCATTATAATCGGAATTTTAGTCGACGTTATTACGATCCATCTAACTTGGTGCTTAATAACATGAATTTTTTAACAAGAGTTTTTGTCCTCACAACAACAACCATCTTTCTTGAGGTAAATTATTTCTGATCTAATACATATGTTTTTTCAAATTTAGATCTCTGCTCGATTTTCATATTCATAGAATCATAGTTAGTTTAAAAGTCACTTTTGAATTCTCTTTTACTTCAGAAAACGTGTTTTTGTTCGCTAGAAATATTATTAGTGACATGAATGATATAGGTTATCATAATTAATGGATAATGAGCTCCTTGGAGTATATGCGTTTCATATGGTTTCGCTATGGTAGTCTCTATTTTTTGCGAGCGTTAATGCAGCTTTATGAAATAGGATGTTTATATTAATTGGTTTGCATTTGACTTTCTCTATCTACCTACTAATTGATTTTAGATAAAATTTGTAGACTTACATGGTATAAGAATTTAACATATTTCTCGAAAATATATAATCTAATTCTATATAATAAGATTTAGTTCAATATACACAAGACTTAACAATATTTTGATGGTGTTTTCACATATTTTGTGTAGGCTCTCACGAAAAAATACGTAGGAGGAGGAAAACTAGAAAAATGGCCTTTCAAGTTTGAAAACTTAACAAAATTCCATATTTCCTTCAAAGCTCCAACGTTTTGTACTCTTTTTGACATCGCTGAATTCCTCAAAGAGTGCCCTAAACTCGAACATGTTGCGATCGATGTACGTCTCTCTATCTCTCCCCCTTCTCTCTCTCCCTCTCGCTCTTCTCTCTCTCTCCACTAAAAGGGTTTGTTTGATATATGCAGATTTACAATTTCACTTTCGAACCTCAATTGCCTTTATGGGAGAGTCATCATAAGGATCAGATCCAGAATGACTCAAAAAACAACTATGTATTGAAGTTTCTCAAGAAAGTCAAGATCTTTGGCTATAAAGGTCACTCACATGAGCTTGATATAGTAGAATTCTTTGTCAAGAGCGCACCATCTCTAGTGAAATTGAGATTAGTGATGCCTAAAAACGCAAAAGACAATGCTCACGCACCAGATAATGCAAGAATAGAGGTCATTAGAAACATATTCTCAGGGATTAAAGTTACCGAAGTTTAAAATCAAGTTATGCCCAACCATGCCAAGATATCATATAACTTTTGATGTGTTTGAAAAATCAGAACTATGATATGTGATGTTTTTTCTTCTTATGCTCTTGTCTTTAGTTTGAACTACCTTACTTTTTCTATAAATTGTTTATCTTATATTTAAGATTTGAACTTATCTGGGATTATTGGTATTATTGCCTTTAGATTAATATGCTAACATATGTCTACACCTATGCACAAAACATAGTTCATTTATGAACTGTTGGAAGTACAGTTGACAGTAATCTATTGTGAGACTCTGGTTTGCGTAGAAGCATGAATGAATTTATTTGGCCACCTATGTCACCAAAGTGCATTTATCATTTCGGTCCACGGTCGTGAGAGAACTTGTTGTAGTCAAATGATGGGTTACATTCCGGGAAGCAGTTGTCGGAACTGTGTGAGTGAAGCCAAAACAAAGGGAAAGATCATGTGGTTATTTGTAGGGTCGGTAATACAAGTATTTAATGCCTCCCGGACGTAGCAAACCGACCGTCGGATATGGATGGGCTCACATGCCTAGTGAGAAGACGTGAGGCCCATTAAGAGAGGTGTGCCCATAGAATGAGAGTGAACATGGAGCCCACTTGAGAGGTGACAGTCGGAGCGTTATATCTCTATATATATATACTAATGAATCTATTTAATTATAATAGTATGCTATTGGCTTACGTTAATTTGGTGTATGGAAACTTCGGGGATAAGTCGATGCGTTTTGAGGTTCCTTGGGCTACGCTCTTTGGTATGGCAGCTTGGTGGGGTTGGAAGTGGCGGTGCGGTAATATTTTTGGAGAGAATCGAAGATGTCGAGATAGAGTTCAGTTTGTGAAAGACTTAGCTAAGGATGTTCATGAAGCTCATAAGATTGGTACAAAGGGTAGGGGAGAGGGAGACCGTGTTGTGCGTCAGATCGCTTGGGTTCCTCCAAGTGTTGGTTGGGTTAAGCTCAACACCGATGGTGCGTCTCATGGTAACCCGGGGCTAGCCACAGCCGCTGGTGTGCTACGGACCGCGGATGGAAGTTGGCTTCGCGGTTTTGCTCTAAATATCAGTTATTGTTCGGCTCTTCTTGCTGAACTATGGGGGGTGTACTACGGTCTTCACATTGCTTGGGAACTGAAGATTCCGCAGGTGGAGCTCGAGGTGGATTCAAGTTTGGTGGTGGAGTATTTGACGACGGGGATTAGTGATACTCATCCGTTGTCTTTCCTAGTACGTTTGTGCTATGGCTATCTATCGAAGGACTGGAGGGTCTGTGTTTCTCATGTGTATAGGGAAGCTAACCGTCTTGCCGATGGGTTAGCGAACTATGCGTTTTCTTTACCTTTAGGTTTTTGTTGTTTTGATGTTATTCCGCCGGATGTGGCGACGATTTTTCACGAGGATTCTGTTGGTCAACTTCGGCTTAGAAACGTTAATGTATAATTTTTTAAGTTTTAATAATACTAAGGGAGGGCACTAACTCCCGTCAATTTACCAAAAAAAAAAAGCAAAAACTAATATTTAATATGGCCCAATAATACTATGTATAAATTTCATAATTAAAAAATCATTTTTTTTAGATGACAAAAAAGCATATTTTTAGGGGTCTGATGTTGTAAAAGATTTAAAATATCAATATTTCGAATACATTTTCTAAAAACATAACAAAAGAGTCAAATCTTAGCTAAAAGTCAATGATACTTGATGAAGCTACTACTCTTTCCCAAGTGTAGCCACTCCAGATTGTGTACCTGCTCTAGATTGTGTAGTTAGAAACATCTGAATCACCTTCTATTTGTTTGCTCCTGTCAACGTTGATGATATCTTGAGAGTTGCGTTTGCAATGCTGATAAGACGTTTGTCATTTTCCTCGGGAGCGATATCGATAAATTACCGTTATTAGCAAAAGCTAGTAGAAGGTTAGTAGTCTATATTAGAGCAACTCCGCTGCATGTAAGAAAGAGAGGTGCTTCTAATAGAAAAAAAAATTACAAAAAACAGGAAAGAGAAAGTACAAAAATGCCAAATCTATCTTATTATTTTTGCAACCCTTTTTTTGACCACCTTTATTTTGGAATTTTTTACACAAAATACCCTCATATGTAAACAATTACAGTAAAACCTCTATAAATTAATACTCGATAAATTAATAATCTCTATAAATTAATAAATTTCTCCGGTCCCAACTTGGGACCAGTGTAATTTTAGACACATTTCGATAAAATAATAAGATAATAAATTTTTTGAAAATCCTTTGTAAATATATGGTCCCATCAATATTATAAATTAATAATTAGGTAAAATTTTCAAAATATATGTATATATAGACACATTAGTTTTTGTTAAAATTTATTTCTAATATTTTACTATATGAAAAATATTTAGCATTCTCTTTTAATACATAATAATTCTTGTTTTATTTGTAATTGATTATATAAAATACTAATTATCATGATTAAATCTTATTTTTAAATATTGTTTTGAAAATATTTTCCAAATTAGGAATATCTCTCTATTATTAATTTATCGATAAATTAATACCTTTATAAATTAATAGATTTTCATGGTCCCAACATTATTAATTTATAGAGGTTTTACTGTAATAAAATGTCATTAAGGTCAATGATGTCATTTACAAAGTCGGGTCGGTTTACATCTTTAAATTAAAACCCGATTTCAGTTTTCGGATCTTCATTAATTATATATAAAACAATTCTACTTTAATAATTACGTCAAGATAAAATTTGAGAATATTCTTAGCTATTGAAATGATTTTTACTCCTATAAATAAGGAAATTTCATTCCGCAAACAAAAATGAATTTAAACCCAATAAATCCGGTTATACACATAAAATATTCATTAATTATGATTCTTCAATAATAAAATCAAGTTTTGGTAAGATATTTTTAGATAAGGAAAAACAAAATAAGTGGTTTTAATTCTAAACAATCAAAAATTCTAAATTGAATAAAAATTCCATATTAGCATTATATGTGTATTCTTAGCATTTATATTCAACAAGGCAAGTTAATTTATATCGAACTTCTACTAATGTCAAGTTATATCGAATATATCAAACTGAAATGTATATTTGGTAAAAATATTATAAACAAAATCGAGAAAATATAGGTAATAGAAACTAATTAGTATATATATACTTGACAATTAAGGAGTATATTCTTTATTCAAATTCTGAATCGTAATTGTTTGATTTTCCAAGATATTATACAAGATTTTTACAGGAACCGTTATCAAACATAATCATATCATCAATTAGAAACTATATATAATCTCTCATTAGAAGACCAAAAATGCACCAACTCATAAAAAAATTATCTTTCGGCCAGCAAACAAAATTTATGTCTTTTGGATAAATCTTTTACTTCATATTATTTTTTATTAATTTCAGATAATTTCTACTTCCTACACTCAGTTCAGATTTCTTTACAGCAATGGATTATGACTTATTAGATAATGTCACATTTTGTCATATGGGTTTAGTTGTTTAGTTGATACAGTTTTTTTTGTTTTTAGTGTTGTTGTTAAAGTATTTGATTTAGCTCTCGAACATTGAAGTTTTTGGAAATGGTTTGTGTAGAGCACTTCTTTATATTCTAACACTTGATATCTCTTTTATTTTTTATATTTGTAACAGGTTAAGTTTTAAAACGATTGTACTCTAAACTGGTCGAATATTGCTTTTGGTAGTTTCATCACAAGTGTATATGGATCTGATTATCTCTTTGTCTTCTCGATTTTGCTTGACTGGTTATCATCATGTAAGATTTTATAATTGAATTTGAATCTATTGGCGAAGAGATTAAAATGTGGTGTTGTGTATTTATATATATATATATTTTTGTTAAAAGATATTATTTTTTAAAATATTTTTAGTTAAAAATAAGGACAGCTTTGCCATTGTTGTTTGTTCGGCTAACTTATTTTTTTTTTAATTTTCTTTATTGTGTCTTCTAAAATATCTGTTTTTCTTCGACATCAAAACATCATCTAACAAGTACAATAAACAATTTAATCTTAACAGTTTCCATATAACGATTTTAAAGTGAAACATTGCATAACCTAAAACTATGTACATAAGCCACATATTACTAATTTATGTGGTCACAACTAAAATTAAAATTATGTAATTTTTATATTAATCAAAGAAACAATTGTGAAAACTATAACAAAAACAGTGGAGAATTTAAAAGAGTATTTGTCACTTTCGCAGCAGCAATTTGGTATTCACAAATAACTATATTAAATTTTCCTATGATAACTTTTACTGTATGGTAGTTACTGGTTATCATTATGTAATCTTACTAAATTTTAACCTAAAAAAATATATTTATATTTATTTCAAATATAACTTTCTTATACTCAGTAATAATTTAATTTGTATTGACTATTAACTTCTAATTCTTACAAATATAAATATACTTAGAAATATTAATGTGTTTATTCATATAATTATTTACAAAATCACAGTGTATTATACTTTTAGGTCTCTCAAATTTAATCCAAATACATACAATAACACATACTCTTAGTTATTCCTAAATTGTATATATCAATATAACATTTTGTTCGCAAAAAAAAATCAATGTAACATATATCTTAAACATCAAAGAAACTCAATCAACTGATATAATACAAAATCATATATATAAGTAGAATAAAAACAAAAACTGCCCCGTGGTGAATTACGTGGGTAAATTCTAAATGTTATAATGTATATTTATACTTACAAATATTAATTTATTTTATAGTACATTTTTAAAAAAGAAAAACAAAAAACAAATACGTATACAAATTTATAACCAACCACATCTATACCATATCATATACATTTAAACTTAGAAAGTACAACAACATATATATATATATACACCGTAAGATATATATATATATATATATATATATATATATTCATTTTAATATACTAACTCATTTATTTTGATTTATAAAATGAAAAAATAAAAGAAATAGACCCGTGGTGTACCACGGGGTAAATTCTAGTGTACCATTATAAGCACCGGTACTTTGTTCTGCTTCTCATTCAAAATACATGTGTCCTT